CCAAACATATCTTCTCAAACCTTCTAGAAACCGACACTAACACAAAAACAGTCGCATCTTGACTTACTTCTTGAATCATTCAGCAACTCCATCAGATAAACTCTTGTATTACTTCTTGACTCATTCAACAACTTAATCAGACTGCAGCTACATCTTCATTACGGGGGTCAAAATTTTTCCACTCCAACTAATCTTTCTTTTTTAGCTTTATCTCAAAATATGCTCAGAACTTCTTTCACGGCGAACTCCTCTTCTGACCATTTCTTGCGTAATCTCGCATACAATGTCTTGGCAAGTTCTTCTCTGGTTGATTTTCTTTTTTGCATGATCATTAATTAAGTCTCTATCACTCAGGATTTTTCATGACTATTGTATTCAGGGTACAACATCAAAATCAGACTACACCAACTTCCATGATCCAGGAATTCACTCAGATCTTCCCATCTTAAACATCCAACCTCAGTGCACTCCAGCCACTACGTTCAAATTCTCATTCCGACAATCACCTCTCAAGTTTCATAAAGGTACAATTATGTTTACGTGTTGTCGTCACAACGATTTTAAGAAATTTTTAAAAGGTTACAATGTGTTTTGTAATTATGTTTACAGCATATAACATTAAACAGTCTAGTAGAACTAATATTGTTCTGTGTAAGTTTAAATGTAATCTGACTGCATTCCAAGTCCCAAGTTAATTTGTTAAAGAGAACATTTTTTGTGCCTCACTCAAAGCTAACTTCTCAAAAAACATTCTTGCAACTGATTAACATTTTCTTGCAAATGATTAACGTGTCAAATCAGAGGTGAGATGCGTTCAAGGATTGAATCTCTGGAGAAATAACTCCGTAGAGGTCAACGATGAGATCTTCAAGGGTTATCGTCAAGGAAATCCTGAAAAGATCATCAATGAGGTTGCTGCAGGTTATTCCACTTCTCTTATCATTTTTCTATGTTTATATTACATAGGCAATTTCTGACTCTTTCTCTGTTTTTTAGCATATGATTTCTTGGACACCGATACGAATAACTTCAATGTGACCATCTGGTTTAACTCTACATACAAGGATGATTACCGAGTACAACAGAGGCGTGTAAAGTATGTCCGAGTTCCTCGCTCAGTAAATTTGGTAAGAACTATGACTACTTTTTTAGCTAGGAGGCTAGGATATATCATTTGATCAAACACATTCTTACTCTACAAAAACAAAATGCAGGTTTCGAATGCTTATCTTCAATTTTTGCGAGGCCCAGGGACTAAAATGTTATTCGATTTTGTGAAAGAAACGCCTAAACAAGAAACTAAGCTTCACGTTGACGTAGCTTCTGTCATTGGCCCCATGTTCTTAACATGGGTTATTGTTCTTTTGTTCCCCGTAAGCATGTTTTCAATAGACAGATTCAGTCTTGGAAGCAATAATCCTATCATTGGATTTCAATAGTTTGAGGCATTTTCTATTCAGGTGATCTTAAACTCATTGGTGTATGAGAAGCAGCAACATCTAAGAATTATAATGAAAATGCATGGCCTAGGAGATGGTCCTTATTGGATGATTTCCTACGCCTATTTTCTAGCCATATCCACGTTATATATTATATGCTTGATGATATTTGGGTCAGCAATAGGTATTGTCTCGTTGCCATATTTTCTTCTATATATAGAACATGTTTCAGAGCTATAGTGCCTTGCAGGACTGAAGTTTTTCCGGTATAATGACTACGGTATCCAGTTCGTTTTCTATTTTCTCTGCATAAATCTGCAAATCTCCGTAGCTTTTCTAGTTTCCTCAGCATTTTCAAAGGTTGAGACAGCTACAGGTACTAACTTAAGCCACACGTTAACTAAATGTGCTCAAGAACATGATGATGTTAATTAAAAGGAACACTCTTTGTTTTATGGCTCAATTGTAGTTGTTGCTTACCTATACGTGTTTGGATCTGGGCTCTTGGGCGGGTTCCTCTTCCAGTTTATGTTGGAAGGTTTATCGTTTCCCAGTAAGCTATATATCAAAAACAAATTGGAGAAGACCTATTCTCAAATACTGACCAGTGACTACAATACTAATATAATGTTTACTTTTTCCCCAGGAAGCTGGATTTTTTTCATGGAGTTGTTTCCGGGCTTCTCTTTATACCGTGGTTTGTATGAGTTCTCTCAGTATGCTTTAATCAGAAACGTGAATGGGAGCGATGGGATGAAGTGGAAAGATTTCAATGATAGTGCAATGGATGAAGTTTTCTACATTATTATTGTCGAGTGGTTTCTCGCACTCATTGCAGCATACTATATGGACCGAGTTTCTTCATCCGCGAAAGACCCTTTTTTATGCTTGAAATACACTTTCAAGAAATCTCCGTCTAAACATAGCTTGCAGAGACAGGGATCTGCTCTTTCCGTTGAAATGGACAGACTAGATGTCGCTCAGGAGGTATAACAACAATGATTAACAATATATTACATGTTCTTTGCTTTTTGTTTTTCTAGTTGTTTTGATGAAATTTGTTTTTGTCCTAATCAGAGAGAAAGGGTCAAGCAGCTGATGCTTGAGTCGAGCACAAGCCATGCGATTGTATGTGACAACCTGAATAAGGTGTATCCAGGTAGGGATGGGAACCCGCCTAAAATGGCCGTTCAAGGGTTATCTCTCGCTGTGCCTTCAGGAGAATGCTTCGGCATGTTAGGACCAAACGGTGCAGGGAAGACATCCTTCATCAATATGGTTGGTACACAAATGGATAGAAAATCTTACGTGCTTATGTTTTAACTGAAAACTCTCCGGTAATGCAAGTTGTGTTGTATATTTTATGTGGGGAATTATAGTGTTGAAAATTTATAGGTTCCCGACTTCAAAACAATTGACAATGAGTGGAGATGCTTATTATATCCTTAAATACTCTTATGTAATATTATATTTTTTTGGGCAGATGACTGGGCTTGTGAAACCAACATCTGGAATAGCTCTTGTTCAAAGTTTGGACACATGTAAGGATATAGACAGAGTATACACCAGCATGGGTGTTTGCCCACAACATGAGTAAGTAATTGTATTCTTGGAAAACAGATTATTTTGTTTTAATTGTCATCGTTTTCTTGTTCTCTATTATGTAGCTTGCTCTGGGAAACGCTGACAGGAAGGGAACATCTACTCTTTTACGGAAGACTTAAGAATCTCAAAGGCTCTGATCTCCACCAAGTTAGTTATCAATCTTACTTATCTAATATATTACTCCAAAAGTATCAAAACTAATTTATAGGTTTAGGCTGTAGAGGAGTCTCTTAAGAGTGTGAACCTATTTCGTGATGGAGTTGCTGATAAACCTTCTGGGAAATATAGTGGAGGCATGAAAAGGCGATTAAGCGTAGCATTTCACTTATCGGGAGTCCTACGGTACACCAATGTCTCTTACTAATCTACTGGAAAAAACTTATAGAGAAACCTTATTTCATATGATTTTAGAGAGCTTTACCAAGCCCATTTTTACATTTGGTTTATTTTTTTAAAAGGTGGTTTATATGGATGAGCCAAGCACAGGACTAGATCCAGCTTCAAGAAGGAGCCTATGGACAGCCATCAAATCCGCAAAAAAAAACACTGCGATAATCCTCACTACTCATTCAATGGAAGAAGCAGAGTTTCTTTGTGACCGATTGGGAATTTTTGTAGACGGAATGTTACAATGCATAGGGAACCCAAAATAGTTAAAGGGAAGGTATGGTGGATCTTATGTGTTAACAATGACAACATCATCAGAACATGAAAAAGATGTGGAGATGTTGGTTCAAGATGTTTCTCCAAACGCCAAGAAGATATATCACATCGCAGGGACACAAAAATTTGAGATCCCAAAAGAAGAAGTACGGGTCTCGGAAGTGTTTCAGGCGGTAGAGAAGGCGAAAAGCAATTTTAGGGTGTTTGCTTGGGGACTTGCAGACACAACTCTTGAAGATGTTTTCATTAAGGTTGCTAGAACTTCTCCGGCCTCTAATGTCTTCTCTTGAATCTTCTTTAGATTATCATATTTGTCTGTTCAACGTCAATATTTGTTATTTCATGCATGTTTAATAGTATTGGTCATGCGTAGATTTGATTTGTATATTGTACATTATTGGAATCGGCTACGAGTTTGTGACTTGCGTCGGAGGGTTTTACCACTTGTTTGTTTGTGAATGATTTATGTAAAACAAGGCTAGATAAATTTGTGAATGATGATGTTGATACATTATAAAGGAGATGATGCCCATGAATAAAAATAAAGAAATTGTTTTTCTTCGTTTAACATTGTTTTTATAAAAAAAAAACCAGGATGATATGGGCTTTTATCACCAAGTAATCCCTTCAGGGTGAGTGTAGCTGTTGAACAAGACATCATTTTAACTGGAAAAATAGAGTGATTTAGTAGATTTCGCGTTTGAAAGGAATCGATCTCTGACCTAGATATGAAGATATCTACAAGGCAACTCCTCCTCTTTCCACTTGACCACTATCACTTGTTTTTTTTTTTTTTAACATTGTTAGTGCATGCCAACAAAATTTCACAGTTTTGGTATTAAAACGGAATTCTGCAATTTCGATGCTGAAAAAAGTATTACAGATTGATGGTAAAACGTGAGCCCGCAGTTACGGCGAAAACTCGTGATTTGTTTATTTTGACGTATAATAATGAATTTACATAAAATATGATGTGGCTTAAGCAAAGACAAGATATAACTATTTCTCAGTCACACCAATATTTTACTTTTAAGTTTTAACACTTAACGTTAGAGATCGACGTGGTTCTAACAATAAGTCAATGAAATTACCCGACAATATTTTATAGATTCGTGAGATATTTATAGTTTTACCCTACTTGACCATGTTTTCCCATAAATCTTGCTAAACTTTTTAAATTCTTCTTTGTAAAATGGTAAGGTAGGCAAAAGTTCAGGATCTATTATCAGTTTCAAAAAATTTACTAAAGCTAAAAGGCCCAATTTTTCCAAAAAAATTGTTTAATAAGAGATTTTATTTTATTTTGAGTTTTGCCATGGACCCCATAATGAATCGAGACAGGACCGGCCTCAACCACCATATTATAGAATTCTATTGCAAAGATCACTCCTTTTATTGGCAACTTGCTGCAACTTATTGAAGTTCTTCGTTTGTTGACATTATAAGTAACACAAAATAGTTAATGCCGTAATGGCCTCAACCACATATAAATTAGCCAGTGGAAATTAAAGTCTGTCACATGCATGAATCTTACTGTGAATTCATCAGGACTCAATGTCACTAAATCTACAACAAAAGGAAAGATAAAACAGAAGAAAAAAACAAAATCAAGATTGAAGAAGCTTATCATCAATGGCAAACCATATTACCGCAAGTTTCTTTGCCCGGGTCAATGCCTTGTTCAGAAGAAACTTAACCTACTAGTTTCTTAATTTAGTCTCGTAAGATATACACATATCATCACGTTACGTGATACGTACCATACAACGTTTCCGCAAAATCTTATAGTAATTAACATTATAACTTATCAATAACTCACTCTCCACACATGCTGGTTGAAAGATTTTCTTGGTCGTCGTGGGATTACTCCTTTCTTTGGCAACTTCTTGCATATTATAATTGAAGTTCTTCTTTCGTTGAAATGACTAATTATTAAGATAAATACCAATTTATAATTCGCAAGTGGAAATCAAAAGGTGTCATATAGATCGAATTGTGAACTCATAGAGTCAAATCAGGACTCATCTATGGCGAAACCTGCTGCCGCCAGTTTCTTGACGCAAGCCAACGCCTTGTTCAAGAAAAACTTAACTTATCAGGTACTTGGCCATACAATTCATGCGTTATCTATATATACATATAGAAAAATGTAATTATATCTTGTTACCATATATTGTTGTAGAAACGGAACATATGGAGCAACGTTAGGCTGATCGTGATCCCTTTGTACCTTTGTGTGGTTCTAGTGTGCATTCAAGCTGTGTTCGATTCACTGGTTAATAACTCTGTTGATAATCAATGTGGTTGTCGATGCATCGACGACTCCGACAAAAATGGAGATGGCAAATGCGAAAAAAAAAAGTTGTGGTTTACAATATTCATCACAAAACCAAGCTGTCTTCTGTGCCTTCCCTAACCCTCCACCATTGCTTCCTTTGTTACATATTCCTCGTTCTTTTAATCATACCCGTCGTGACTCGTGCAAACGAACCGGATCTTGTCCTGTAACCATACTTGTTACTGGGAATAACCAATCCCTTGGAACAAGTATACATACTCTCCCTCTTTTAATGTTTTTTTTTTTCTATCACAATAAATGTTTTTTCCTTTCCAACTAATCTTCACTATTGTTTTAGCTTTATCTGAGAATCTTCTAAGTACTTCTTCCACGGTCAACTCCTCTTCTGACCATTTCTTGCGTAATCTCTCGTATAATGTCTTGGTAAGTCCTTCTCTGTTTGAATTCTTATTGGTTACCATTATTATCAAGTCTCTCTATCTCTCGGTGCTTTTTCATGAATTAGTATATTTATATATACAGGGCACAACATCAGAGACAGACTACACCAACTATCGTGATCCAGGGATTTACTCAGATCTTCCCATTTTCAATATCCAACCTCAGTGCACCCCAGCCACTACATTTTCATTCTCATTCCGACAACCACCTCTCGAGTTTCATAAAGGTATTCACGTCACAAAATTATGTGTGAAACCCTAATCTGAAAACTGAACACTAAACCCAAAATGGTGTATATATGAACCCAACAAAAAAAAAAACTCTAAATATTCTAAATTCAAACCGTAATAAATCAATATGTTTTAATGGAATCTGCATTCCATGTTCCAAGTTATTTTGTAAGAGATAACATTCTTTCATTGCGGCCTATTGGCTTAATGGTTAATGTGTCAAAGCAGAGGTGAGATGCGTTCAAGGATTGAGTCTCTGGAGAAATAACTCCGTAGAGGTCAATGATGAGATCTTTAAGGGCTATCGTAAAGAAAATCATGCAGAGATCATCAATGAGGTCGCTGCAGGTTATACCACTTCTCTTATCATTTACCTCTCTATTTTACAATTAACTTCTGACTCTTTCTCTGGTTTTATTAGCATACGATCTCTTGGACACGGATAGGAACAACTTCAATGTGAACATCTGGTATTACACGACATACAAGGGAGATTTTCAAGATTGGCGTGTGAAGTATGTCCGAGTTCCTCGCTCAGTCAATTTGGTAAGAAACTACGTTCGTGTTGTATGTTAGGATTCTACATAGAAATTGTGGAGGAACCAACACTAAGATAAATAGCATTGGTCACTCTATATGTAGGACTGATCTTTTGATCAAACTCATTCTTAGACTCGGCAAAACATTGCAGGTTTCGAATGCTTACCTTCAGTTTTTGCAAGGCCCAGGGACAAAGATGTTATTCGATTTTGTTAAAGAAATGCCTAAACAAGAAACTAGGCTTCGCATGGACATGGCGTCTCTCATAGGCCCCATTTTCTTCACATGGGTTATTCTTCTTTTGTTCCCTGTAAGCTCTTTTTATGTGGACTACTTCATACTCTTACAAGTATATGATGATCCTATCATGGGAATTTTTTCATGGGAAATAATTTAACCTGGTCTGGTTTGCGAATCGAAGAGATTATGAGCCTAGGCCCATAATTGTTTGGTTAATAGGCTTTTTCAATAGTTATAAGCATTTTCTATGCAGGTGATCTTGACCTCATTGGTGTATGAGAAGCAGCAACGTCTAAGAATTATAATGAAAATGCATGGCCTAGGAGATGGTCCATATTGGATGATAACCTACGCCTATTTTCTCGCCATATCCACGTTATACATTATATGTTTGATGATATTTGGGTCAGCAATAGGTAATGTAGAGTTGACTTATCTTATGTTAATATTTTCTTATGTATACATAAATCAAGTTTCAAAGCTATAGTTTGTTACAGGACTGAAGTTCTTCCGGTCCAATGACTACAGCATCCAGTTCATTTTCTATTTTCTTTATATAAATCTGCAAATCTCCATAGCCTTTTTAGTTTCCTCAGCATTTTCAAAGGCTGTGACAGCATCAGGTACTAACTGAAGTCACATTTTTTTTCAAATTTGGTCGGGAACATGCGGTGTTAAGGAGAAACACTTTCTGTTTTATGCCCAAATTGTAGTTGCTGCTTACATGTACGTGTTTGGATCTGGGCTATTGGGCGGGTTCCTCTTCCAGTTTCTGATGGAAAGTTTATCGTTTCCTAGTAAGCTATCAAGAACAACATGAAAAAGACATTCTCAAAACTGACCACAATGGCACTATATAATCTTTTATTTTTTACCAGGACGCTGGATATTTGTCATGGAATTTTATCCCGGCTTCTCATTATACCGCGGGTTGTATGAATTCTCCCAATATGCTTTCCAAAGAAACTTGAATGGGAGGGATGGGATGAAGTGGAAAGATTTCAGAGGTAGTGCAATGGATGAAGTTTTCTCTATCATTATCGTTGAGTGGTTTCTCGCACTCATTGCAACATACTGCATGGACCGAGTTTCGTCATCAGCGAAAGACCCTTTTGCATTCTTGAAAAACCCTCTCAAGAAATCTTCTTCTCCACAAAGGCCTAGCTTGCAAAAAGAGGAATCTTCCGTTTCCGTAGAATTGGAGAAACTGGATGTCATTCAGGAGGTATTGCAAAAGAATTTACAACCCATTCCATGTTCTTTACGTTTTTCGAACTGTTTTGGTGAAATAAATTTGTTCAAATCAGAAAGAAAAGGTCCAGCAGTTGATGCTTGAGCCGAGCACAAGCCATGCGATTGTATGTGACAACCTGAAGAAGGTGTATCAAGGCAGGGATGGGAATCCGCCTAAATTGGCAGTTTGTGGCTTATCTCTCACTGTGCCGTCAGGAGAATGTTTCGGCATGTTAGGGCCCAATGGTGCCGGAAAGACCTCGTTCATCAATATGGTTAGTACCCAAAGGGACAGATACAAATCTTGTGTGCTTAGCATACTCCTTACTAACAAAGTGTTAAATTTTATATATATATATATATATATATATATATATATATATATATATATTTTGGCTAGATGACTGGACTTGTGAAACCAACATCAGGATCAGCTTTTGTTCAAGGTTTAAACATATGCAAGGATATGGACAAAGTATACACCAGTATGGGTGTTTGCCCACAACACGAGTAATAAATTAAATTCTCGATAATATTTTTTTCTAGTTGAAGATCATTATCAAGTTTTATGAGCTTCCCAACTCAAAAAATCAGTTTGTAATCATATAGTTGTTTTATTGTTTCTTATTGTTTGTCATTTATCAGCTTGCTCTGGGAAACATTGACAGGGAAAGAACATCTTTTCTTTTATGGAAGACTTAAGAATCTCAAAGGCCCTGATCTCGACCAAGTATGTTATCAATCTTACTTCTATCCCATATTAGCGCAAGATTATTAAAACGTCAAATTATGGTTTATTATTAGGCTGTAGAAGAATCACTTAAGAGTGTGAACCTAGTTCGCGGAGGAGTTGCTGATACACCTGCTGGGAAATACAGCGGAGGAATGAAAAGGCGGCTAAGCGTAGCCATTTCACTTATCGGGAGTCCTAAGGTACACCAATGTCTCTTACTCCTCTCCTACCTAAAAACTGATTGATAAGCCCTTGTTTGCATGTGATTTAGAGAGCTATAGTTTTTCAAGCTTTAACAAATCATTTTTCCATTTGGTTATTAAATAAAAGGTTGTTTATATGGATGAGCCAAGCACAGGACTTGATCCGGCTTCAAGAATAAACTTATGGACAGTCATCAAACGCGCAAAAGAACACACAGCTATAATCCTTACAACTCATTCAATGGAAGAAGCAGAGTTTCTTTGTGACCGATTGGGGATTTTTGTTGATGGAAAGTTACAATGCATAGGGAATCCAAAAGAGCTGAAGAAAAGGTATGGTGGATCCTATGTATTAACAATGACAACATTACCAGAACATGAAAAAGATGTTGAGACGTTGGTTCAAGATGTTTCCCCAAATGCAAAGAAGATATATCACATCGCTGGGACTCAGAAGTTTGAGTTCCCAAAGGAGGAGGTTCGCATCTCGGAAGTGTTTCAGGTGGTGGAGAAGGCCAAGAGCACTTTCAGGGTGTTTGCGTGGGGACTTGTGGACACAACTCTTGAAGATGTTTTCATCAAGGTTGCTAAAACCAGTCAGGCCTTTAATGTCTTCTCTTGAATATTCGTAAGATTATTATTTATGTATGTTCATGGTTAATAAAATTGATAATGTAGAGGTTTGTATCATGTACATTGTTGGATGTTGGCTGCAAGTTTGTGAATTTCTTCGAGGTCTTTTTGTAACTTGTTTGTTTGTGGATGATTTATGTAATGCAAAATAATTATGTAAACCGTGGCTATATATAATTGTGGAAGTTCCACTGCCGCATATGAAATTAAGTTTCATATACCATTTAGATCCTAAATGTATATATTTCTAAGGTTTACGAATTAAAATTTTTAATTTCTAAAACAATTTTTCTATACAAATAAAAGTAATTAGGTTTTAGCGGTTAAATTTTACCTTAGTCTTTAAAGTGTGTTTGGTTATTAATTATTTGATCTGAGAAAAATTGAGGATGGGAAAAATTATAATTTGAGGGAACCCATAGGCCATGATTAAGGATGGATGACTTTTTTTTTTTTTTTTGAATGAATGTAAAATTTATTTATCAAAAAAGTCGGTGTTATATCAAATACTTCAGTTTCGAGTGTAAAAAACTTTCTTATATATATTACAAGGATGGATGCCTTAATTTCATCTGAAGGAGCTTAAACACAAGATAGATTTAGCATCTTGGTGGCTCATGAGCTTCTCACATTTTGACAGGTAACACAAAATTTAGGTTTAGGAAGAAATTCACAAACAAACAAGTTAACTTTTAACCTGATTTTTTTGTAAAAGAAAAAACATTATCATGAACAAATTCAAACCGAAACCAAATCAAAGTAAATTTATTTTCTTTGTAAAATAAGAGTTGAAAAAAATGCTACTAATTAAGACTTTTATGATTTTTTTAAAAAAATTTGTGCAAAGACTTTTTATGTTTTAAAACTGAAATAAGACTGCTGTTAAAAACAATAAACTGAGATAAGACTTTTCTTCTGACATCATAACATATTTTCTCCTTTATATGGGATCATACATTGCTTCTTGTCCAAGTAACTTAACTGCCACATTGGAAAATGTTTGAATTTTGAACAAATCTTTTTTAATTATTTAAAATGGTCAAAAATATCATAGTCAACCAAATTTACTGGATAGTTTTACGTGAGACATTAGAATAGAATAGTTTAATGAATTACGTTCACACGTGATTACGTCTGAAATGACGTATTAATCATCAACTATGCCAAATTAAAAACTTTATATCAAATATAAACAAATAATTGAAACTCACCTCTTCCATTAGTTGAAGAATCTATTGGGTCGTGGGATCACTCTCCTCCGCAGCTTCCTACCAAATTTACATTTCAATCTTTCTTTAATTGTCACTTTCTTGATTTCGTTGAATTTACCTTTTTGTTGTTTGACCAAAAGAATAATCCCAAAAACTTTAATACTAATATATCAACTGATAAAGACGTACTTAACGAAAATAATAAAGCGTGTGCATAAGGGTATTATCGTAATTTCACATTCCGTATCTGATCTCTGTTCTTCTTTCCTCCGCCTGCTACTATATGAACCCAAAAGGCGGTGATTGGATTTGGTTCGTTCTAAGTTCAAAATTAGGATTCAATTTTTACTAACCCAAAAGAAAACAGAAACCTAAAATAATTTAATTTAGCGTTAATATTCAAATAGAAGACACAGAGAAAAGAGCGAAGATTACCAAAATCGTCATCAATGGCGGATCCTGGTCCTGCCAGTTTCTCAACGAGAGCCAATGCCTTGCTTAGGAAAAACTTAACCTATCAGGTACTTTTTGCGTTTTCTTTTCCTCCACGCAATCCAATTATATACATACAAGTTTTCGGATTTTCGATTTTGCTACTCGCGAAAACTTGATGGATCAGTTTCTACAATAACATTAGTGGCTAATCTATTGATTATCCGACGTAATCACAGATAATTTGATATAATTTGGTAATCAGATAAACTTATCTCAAAGTTCAATTGATTATCGAATTTAGTTACAGATATTTTGCTAGGATGATTATGTTGTTGTTCTAATTCGTCATTTGTGTAAATTATGTGTTGGTGTAGAAACGGAATCTATGGAGCAATATTCGGCTTATCATGATCCCTTTCTACCTCTGTATACTTCTAGTGATTATACAAGTCCTGTTCGATACAAATATTAATAACTCTGCTGATAATCGCTGTGGTTGTCGATGCATCGTCAGAAATAGAAATGGAAAATGCCAAAGAGAGATTTGCGGTTTAGAACATTCTAAACCGGATCAAGCTTTCTTTTGTTCCATCCCTAGTCCTCCACTATGGCCTCCATTGTTACAAATCCCGCGCCCTGAGAGTCGCGCTGTTAGTGATCCTGCTGATGATGGTAGTGGTCTTCCTAATGACTCTTGTAGACGAACAGGATCTTGTCCTGTTACTATACTGTTTACTGGAAATAACCGTTCCCTTGGAACAAGTACGTCTCTTCTCTACATTTTTTCTTCTCTTCTTTCAGTATATTCAGTATTTGTATTCACTGTAACACTTATCTTCATGTTTTCTCTAGCTGTATCTGGGAATCTGCTCACTAGTTCCTTATCTGCGAACTCCTCTGACATCTTGCTTACTTTAGCTAATAATGTTTTGGTAAGTTCTTTGGTTGGATTCTGTCTGTTTCCATTATGAAGTGTGTGTGATTATGTTTCTTAGCTTTCTTGACCTCATGTTTCAGGGTACATCAGTTGAGGCAGATTTCACCAATTATCTTGATCCTGGGATTGCCTCAAACCTTTCCATCTACAATATCCAACCTCGGTGCATTTCTAATGCTACGTTCCCATTCTCATTCGAACAACCACCTCTCAAGTTTGAAAAAGGTATTCAGTTTTCAATCCCATAGATGTTTAATTAAAAATGTTTTAGAAGGATAATGAATGTGAGATAGGTAATTTAGTTGCGTTCTTCTGTATGCATATCGCAAGTTTGTTAAACATGATATCTCTTTCTTCCATATATTGCCCTCACTCAAAGTTATCTTTTCTTGCTGTCGAATGACTTAATGTTTGTGTCAAAACCAGAGTTGAGATGTGTTGAAGGATTCAATATCTGGAAAAATACCTCCATAGAGGTCAATGATTTGATTTTCAAGGGTTATCGGAAAGGAAACCCTGAGGGGAAGATAAATGAGATCTCTGCAGGTTCGTCAACTTCTCAGTCGGTTTATCTATAACAGTGCTTAATATGCACATGAGATTTCTGACTCTTCCTGTCTGATTTTTTTTTGTTGCCTTAGCATATGATCTCTTGAACACTGATAGGAACAATTTCAATGTCCACATCTGGTATAATTCAACATACAAGGACGATTCAGGAAATAGACTTACAAAGTTGGTCCGTGTTCCCCGCTCAGTCAATTTGGTAAGAAAACAACATTGTACTCAACATATCCTCATCATTGTATTAACGCTTTGCTCTTTACCATCTAGCACCATTTTCTTGATTGAACTGATGCTTACTCTTTGCCAAACTGCAGGTGTCAAATGCTTACCTTCAATTTTTACAAGGCCCGGGGACAAGGATGTTGTTCGAATATGCCAAAGAAATGCCTAAACCAGAAACAAGTCTTCGTCTGGACATCGCGTCTCTAATTGGCCCCCTTTTCTTTACATGGGTTATTCTTCTTCTGTTCCCTGTAAGTTTGCCTTCAATAATATTCACCCTGATGTATAGTAATCTATAAATCTTGGAAACAACAAGAATTCTGCTTTCTCCCAGCGTAAGATACGAAATTCATATCTAGAGCCATTTGTATGCAGGTGATATTGTCGTCATTAGTGTATGAGAAACAGCAACATCTAAGAATTATAATGAAAATGCATGGCCTAGGAGATGGTCCTTATTGGATGATTTCCTATGCCTATTTCCTTACCATATCCGTGTTATATGTTATATGCCTGATGATATTCGGGTCAGCAATAGGTAACTGAAGCCTCTCTGTCTTTATATATTTCTTACATTAGATTTTCTATACAGATTTTTTTTCCAATATGGGTCTTTATAGTTGCTGGTTCCATGCAGGACTGAAGTTCTTTCGGCTTAATGCCTACAGCATCCAATTCGTATTCTATTTTCTCTATGTGAATCTGCAAATCGCCCTTGCCTTTCTAGTTTCTTCAGTATTTTCAAATGTCAAGACATCAACAGGTACTAACAACATCGTGCTTCTTGAATTTGATCAAGAACATGTCGGGGTTTAAAGGAACTAATGAGCTTTTCTCATATATCTTAATCATAGTTGCTGCTTACATATACGTGTTTGGATCTGGACTTTTGGGCTTGTTTCTACTCAACTTTCTGATTGAAGATTCATCATTTCCTAGTAAGTTATTATGATCTTGAAGATTGACATTAAATACAGTCGTTTATGTGTTTATAAATCTCATAACTGACCACGATTGCAAATGAATTATAATTTTCCAGGAGGCTGGATTATTGTCATGGAGTTATATCCTGGCTTTTCCTTATACCGTGGGCTATATGAGTTGGCACAATTTGCTTTCCGGGGAAACTTGAGAGGGGAAGATGGGATGAAGTGGAAAGATTTCAGTGATAGTGCAATGGATGATGTTTTTTACATCATTATCGTCGAATGGTTTCTTGCCCTCATTGCAGCATACTATATCGATAAGATTTCTTCATCAGGAAAAGACCCATTGTTCTTCTTGCAAAACCTTTTCAAGAAATCTCCTTCTTTTCGAAGGCCTAGTTTGCAGAGGCAAGGTTCCAAAGTCTCCGTTGAGATGGAAAAACCAGATGTTACTCAGGAGGTATGACAAAAGGCTTTACAATATATTCCTTGTTCTTGAAAGTTATGGTGCTGATTAAAAAGTTTTTCAAATCAGAGTGAAAAAGTTGAGCAACTGATGCTTGAGTCGAGCACAAGCCATGCGATTGTATGTGACAACCTGAAGAAGGTGTATCCAGGTAGAGATGGGAACCCGCCAAAATTGGCAGTCCGGGGGTTATCTCTCGCTGTGCCTTCAGGAGAATGCTTTGGCATGTTAGGGCCCAATGGTGCTGGCAAGACGTCCTTCATCAATATGGTCAGTACCCAAATGGACAAAATCTTTTGTACACATTAGACCTTAGCTTCTATATCATTGCTGATCGAGAAACTCTAGCTAGTATATGCCCAAACGAATTGTGCTTCAGATTATATAATCTTGTAGCCTTAGTAATATGTTCTTTGTTTTCTTGGCCAGATGACTGGGCTCCTGAAACCAACATCTGGGACAGGACTTGTTCAAGGTTTGGATATATGCAATGATATGGACAGAGTATACACCAGCATGGGCGTATGCCCGCAGCATGAGTAATTAAATTCTTGAAATTCATTTCATTTTGTTCTTAGTGTTACACTATAGATAGAAGTTGTTTGATCATTCTCTTATTGTCTGTCGTATACCAGTTTGCTCTGGGAAACACTGACAGGAAGGGAACATCTGCTGTTTTATGGGAGACTTAAGAATCTCAAAGGCTCTGATCTCAACCAAGTATGTTATCAATCTCACTTCCCTTCTATATATTACTTCCATTGCTCAATCTATTTCTCATCGTTACTTACCTTGCATTAGGCTGTGGAAGAGTCTCTTAAGAGTGTCAACCTTTTCCACGGAGGAGTTGCCGACAAACCTGCTGGGAAATACAGCGGGGGTATGAAAAGGCGGCTGAGCGTAGCCATTTCACTTATCGGGAACCCTAAGGTACACCATCGTCTGAGAATCCCTTGTTTGCTTATTTTTTGGTAACCCATAATCTATAAATAGTACACTTAGAGAGTTGAGCTTTTCAACCTTAACAAACTCATCCTTATTTTCTTTTTCCTTTGAAGGTGGTTTATATGGATGAGCCAAGTACAGGACTTGATCCAGCCTCGAGAAAGAACCTATGGACTGTCATCAAGCGTGCAAAACAAAACACTGCGATAATCCTCACAACCCACTCAATGGAAGAAGCAGAATTTCTATGTGACCGATTGGGTATTTTTGTGGACGGAGGCTTGCAATGCATTGGCAACCCTAGAGAGCTGAAGGGAAGGTATGGTGGATCCTATGTGTTTACGATGACAACATCATCAGAACACGAGCAAAACGTGGAGAAGCTGATTCAAGATGTCTCGCCAAACGCCAAGAAGATATATCACATCGCAGGAACCCAGAAGTTTGAGCTTCCAAAAAGGGAGATTCGGATCTCAGAGGTGTTTCAGGCGGTGGAGAAGGCGAAGAGCAACTTCACGGTTTTCGCTTGGGGACTCGCAGACACAACCCTTGAAGATGTCTTCATCAAGGTTGCTAGGACTGGTGAGGCCTTTAATGTCTTTTCTTGATCTTCTTAGATTCATACGTCCATGTTTTGTCCAATGTCAAATTGCTACCACATGATACAAAATTAGTGTTTATAAGATTTCATGTATATTACTGCCTTACTGGATATATGTAATAAGTTCGTGATTTCGTGATTTTCAATGAGATAGAGATTATACTTAAAACGATCACTAGAGCTTCTGAATCAAAGAGGCGACACAACAACACTTGGAGATGTTTTTCGCTGATGGTTCGCAATGTCATAACTATTGGTTTTACTCTGTTTTGAAATTCATATATCGGCTATGAAAGTTGGAGAGACCTAAATAGTAGCAATAAACCCATATTTCTAAATTGTCGTAATAATTAATAAAAAAAAAAAAACCAATACAGTATGTATCTTATTATATTCATATTTGTATAGGTTTTGGTAAAGAGTACATTTCTGAGGTGAGTGATGCAAGGAATACTATAACTTGACCTACACGAAACAACTTACAAGAAAATACAGTGCTATTGTCCAATACATGTATGCCACTTCAGTAACGTGTATAGTTAAAGTGTTATCTACTTAATTATTGATATTTTTAGTATGCCCTTCTTTATGTTACATCTAAGAAAAAATTCAGAGACTCCTTAAAAATTATTCTACTCTACCACCACCATCAAATCTTCTCAAATTCTCTGTGATGGCGGATTCAAGTCCTGCAAGTTTCTTGACTCAAGCCAATGCTTTGCTTAGGAAGAATTTAGTTTTCCAGGTTTCAATACACTTTTAATAACTAAAACGGCTAAAACATAGTAAAAGTTTCCACTGAGGTTTTATTTCCTTTTGTTCTTTGATGCAGAAACGGAACATATGGAGCAATATACGTCTCATCACGATCCCTTTCTTCCTCTGTTTACTTCTCCTTGTTGTTCAAATGCTCTTCAACACTCAATTCAATGACGTCCATGGTCAATGTGGTTGCAAAGAGAAAACTTGCGACTTAAGGTATTCTACTTCAGAGCAAGCAGCGTTTTGTGCCATTCCTAATCCACCACAATGGACTCCAATGCTTCAAATTCCGGCTCCTCAATACCGAGTCGCGACCACATATCCTAGCCATTCTTCCCCTGCAACTTTTCTCTTCACCGGGAATAATCAGTCGCTCGGAAAAAGTATAAACCCTATCAATTTACTCCTTTGATATATGAAACTTTTATAACTCTTTTTTTTCTATGTTCAATAAAAAAATTTGTTTTGCTAGTTTTAATGGGAAATATGTATAGCGATTTATCTGAATTTGATGGAGAGTTAGCCAACTATGTCTTGGTAAGTTTTCATGAAACTTTGTTACATCTTGATTATATTTTTTTGTGTTTTCACATTTTCTAACTTTATAATATATGCAGGGCTCATCATCTTTCCCTGCATACACCAATTATATGGACTCTGCTTTCATATCAGATATTCCAATCTACAACATCCAAAATGAATGCTCACCAAACTCTTCTTTCTCAATCTTAATTCACCAATCACCTATTGCCTTCCCTAAAAGTATAACAAAAAAAAAATCCAATTTACAATATCAAAATCTTAAATGTATACAAGAATGCTTTTAAATACAGAGGATTTCTTTCTTATGTCTAGAGGTAAACTGTGTCCAAGGCTTAAATCTGTGGCGGAATAGTTTTTCCAATGTGAACAACGAACTTTTCAAGGGTTACCGAAAAGGAAATCCGGACGAGAAGATCAACGAGTTTGCTGCAGGTCTCTCATCTTACTTCTTTAAGATAGTGTTGTGGGTGTCTTAACTTTCCATTTTTTAGCTTTTGATTTTCAGAACACAAATGGGAACAATCTCAATGTCTGTGTTTGGTACAACTCCACCTACAAGAACGATACAGTGGTTCGACCTATGGCTCTGATTCGAGTCCCTCGCTTAGTTAATCAGGTGCACTTTTTGCTTCACCCTTTACTCAAACGTAGATGTTAATGTTATCATTTAGTACACAATCTTGAGTTCATATTTGTTTTTTTTCATCTGTATTTTTTCAGGCATCTAATGCATATCTTGAGTTCCTAAAAGGTTCTGAGACAAAGATACTCTTTGAGTATGTCAAGGAAATGCCTAAACCAGAGACTAAATTGAGCTTAGACATCGCCTCTCTAATCGGCCCACTCTTCTTCACATGGGTCATTCTGTTGTTATTCCCTGTAAGTCTTTAGATTATCTCAATGACACATTTTAAGAACATTTCTCATCTCATTCTCAGCTTTAATTGCGGTTTTCCTCTGGATCATATTATAGGTGATCTTAACAACACTGGTCTATGAGAAACAACAGAGGCTAAGAATCATGATGAAAATGCAAGGACTTGGCGATGCTCCTCACTGGATAGTTTCATACACATATTTTCTCTTGATATCGATTCTATACATGTTATGCTTTGCGATATTCGGTTCTGTCATTGGTAATAATAACACAAACTCTATCCAATTTGCTAATACTATATGTTACCTCTAAATCTTTTTATGTTCTTTCTCAGTTCTTGATGCTTTTACTTTTTCTGCAGGGTTAAACTTCTTCAGGCTTAATGACTATAGTATCCAACTTGTGTTCTTCCTCATATGCATAAATCTTCAAATATCAGTCGCCTTTTTAGCAGCTGCAATGTTTTCAGATGTTAAAACGGCTACAGGTACTGTTTCATCGCGGCTTTGGTTTAAGATTTATCAAAATGATGATCACAGTTGTTACATTTTCATTTGAAAATTTCAGTTATAGCATACATATATGTCTTTGGAACCGGGCTTCTAGGAATCTTTCTTTTCCAATTCTTCTTGGAAGATCCTCTCTTCCCAAGTAAGTTCTTTAACCCAAATCAAAAAATTTCCTAGGTTTATTATGATTCTCATGTGATTTTTCTCTAGGAGGATGGATAATTGCAATGGAGTTATACCCTGGATTTTCTTTATACCGCGGGCTATATGAGTTATCACAATCTGCATTTTCGGGAGATTACCGCGGCATTGATGGAATGAGATGGAGAGATTTTGAGAATGGAATGAAAGAAGTGACTTGTATCATGCTCATTGAGTGGCTGTTACTGCTTGTTTTAGCATATTACATTGATCAAATCACTTACTCAGGGAAACATCCATTGTTCTTCCTCCTGAAAAGCTCTTCAAAGAAGAAACAACATCACTTCTGTCAGAGCCAAACTTCCAAAGTTGTTATCGAAATGGAAAAATCAGATGTGTGTCAAGAGGTAAAGAAAGAGACAAGATCAACTTCAGGTTCAGTATTAACAAGGCTGAATAAGATTTTTATGCATTTTTGTTTGGTGTCAGAGGGAGAAAGTAGAGCATCATCTACTCGAATCAACTGGAGACTGCGCGGTTTTATGCAACAACCTCAAGAAGGTGTACTCGGGTAAGGACGGTAATCCTCAGAAACTCGCGGTTAGAGGATTATCTCTTGCTTTACCTCAAGGAGAATGCTTTGGCATGCTTGGTCCTAATGGAGCAGGCAAAACTTCTTTCATCAATATGGTCCGTTTTAATATCATATCTATTGATCTTTTGTCTAATAAAACTCCTCTGTTTATGAGTCAATTGCGCATCTTCTGGTCAACCTCTTTGCCATTCTAATATTCTGTGTAGATGACAGGAATCATTAAACCATCATCTGGCACAGCATTTGTCCAAGGTCTTGACATACTAACCGATATGGACCGGATATATACAACAATTGGAGTCTGTCCACAACATGAGTAATCTATAAATATAATCTCTGTTTCTTTCTTTACTTTAAAGCTGCCTTGTTTCTTAGTCCATTTCATTGAATTTTGTGAAGTCTTCTGTGGGAGAAATTGAGTGGAAGGGAACATCTACTGTTTTATGGAAGGCTCAAGAATCTCAAAGGTTCTGTCTTAACACAAGTAAGTTTTTGTTTTAAACTTTAACGTGATTGGTTTGTGAATGACTTATGTATAAAGGTAAAACTGACGAGTTTTCTTGGGTTTTAGGCTGTCGAAGAGTCGCTTCGCAGTGTCAACCTTTTCCATGGAGGGATTGGCGACAAACAAGTCGGTAAATACAGCGGAGGGATGAAGAGACGGCTCAGCGTCGCTATTTCTCTTATAGGAAGCCCAAAAGTAACTCAAAACCTCTCTTGGTATCTAAGTTCTATGATAATGACGTTTTAAACTTGTTATCTGTAATAAATCTTTTGAGAAAATTTGTCAAGGTTGTTTACATGGATGAGCCAAGTACTGGGCTTGATCCAGCCTCGAGGAAAAGCTTATGGGATGTAGTGAAACGGGCTAAGCGAAAAGGGGCGATAATACTCACTAGTATAGTCTTCTAAGCTTCTTATCTCCTTTTTGTTTTGCCTCATAATATCTTCATACAAAAGGAAAACTTCACCTTTGGTCTTATATTTCAGCACATTCAATGGAAGAAGCTGAAATTTTATGTGACCGTATTGGAATTTTCGTCGATGGTAGTTTGCAATGCATAGGCAATCCAAAGGAGGTAAAACTGAAAAACATCTTATATACTTGAATCGTTGAAAACAGAGAATAACTGTATTAACAACCAATGTTCAAAACATAAACGTGATCCAATATTAACTGAAACCTTAATGACAGTTGAAGAGTCGATATGGAGGATCCTATGTATTGACTATGACAACCTCGGAGGAACATGAGAAAGAAGTGGAGCAATTAGTGCATAACATCTCTATGAATGCAAAGAAGATATATCGAACCGCGGGGACTCAGAAGTTTGAGCTGCCAAAGCAGGAGGTGAAGATTGGTGAGGTGTTTCAGGCGGTGGAGAAGGCGAAGACAATGTTTCCGGTAGTTGCTTGGGGACTTGCAGACACAACTCTTGAAGATGTCTTTATAAAGGTTGCACAAACTTCTTAACTAACAACTCTTTTGAATGTTTTCTTTTGATCAATTTCAATATTTTCTTCATCTTATGTCAAACTCAAAGTCAGAAACTATATTTCATATAACACAAATTAAGGTTTATTCTATTTAAAAAAAAAAAAAAATCATTTATTTCCGTAAATAGTTAATATGATTTTCTATTCTAAAAAGGGAAACAATGGATAGACTTCAATTAGACGTAATTTTATTCCACAAATAAATAACGAGTCTCTTGGGTTTTGAGAGATCACTTGGGGAAGGTTCTGTTACACAGTAGAAGAGCTTTTGTGAGGCTGTCTGATAAGCAAGAGGCTCATTTTATAGGTTTAATGTGGGCAATTGAGAGTATGCGGAGTCACAGAGTAGAGAATGTGATTTTTGGGCTGCTGGTGGAGTCTTTGGTTAAGGCTATTAACAGACCTATTGCTTGGCCTTCTTTTAGATATCAATCTATGGAGGCTGGTTTGGTTCTTAAGTTTTTTAGGCGATGGAAAATTATTTTGGAAAACTCTTCTTCAAACAGGTGTGCTTTTCTTATTGCGAAGAGTGTTACTAATGATTGTAGACTTCAATCGTATGTTGCGGTTGGTCATCCTTTTTGGCTTGATGGTGTCTTCGCAGTGGAAAGAGCTTTGGCGTCTGATTGAATCTGAGTTTTCGTGGAATCGGCTTCGGAATGGTGAAGTGTATTCCTTTGTATTAGCCCAGCTTGTTTTAGTTTGTGGCTCCTTTTGGCATGTGTTTTTTGAGTTGTATTGCTCTTATGCATTGGTTTGGTTACTCGGGGATGTTATTGTTTGTAGCTCTACATCTCTTTCTAATATAATTCCAGATGACAAAAAAAAAAAGGGAAAATTGGAAATAAAGGATATCTACTTAAAAATTTGTCCATATACACCTTTTTTGTGAGATTGTCAGTTTGGACGATTTTACCCCTACACCCTAATTTAATTGTTTTTTTTTTAAAATAACCATAAAAACAGGTAGATATACAAGAGTAGAGGTGATTTGAAGTATAATTTTTTAGAATTGGTTTAAAAAAAGTTGATTTTTTTATAGATAAAGTTTCATCTAATTTTGGTAGAATACGTTTTCTAGCGTTCTGCGAAACTCAGAATGTGTATTCTGCATTTTTGTACATGTTCTACATATTTCAGATTAGATTTCTGTTCTGAGAATTTTAGAAATCCGAAAATCAATAATCTAAAATATTTAGAACATGCATTCTACGTTTTTCTCTATATTCTAAATGTTTTAGAATAGACGTTCTAATAATTTCTACATCTTCTGCCATCGTTAGAAATTGTAATCTACGTTTAGAATGTAAATTCTACGGTATTGTAGATTTCGATTTCTGTAATTTTTAGAATGCTCTAAATATAGAAAGTAAATATTCAGAAAAGGAAACAAAATATTTTTTTAGATTACGATTTAAATGATTATTTATTGTTTAGATTACGATCTACAAGATGTAGAAGTTGTTGTCTACGGTTTTTAGACTAAGATTAAAACCTAAAACGTTTTTTAAACCCTAAAAAGCTATACGTCTTAATCCTACACGTCTTAGTCCACCACTTTCGTTTCTAAAAAGCTAAGAACACGTTTTCCTTCAAATTTTCCCGTTTTTGATCAACGATTTCTCGATGCACATCTACGTAAGGAGTGGTGTGTGGAGATTGTATAACAAGAAAGAGTGGAGATTTATTATTGATGAAAAAAATCGTGGGAGATTGTTGAGTTTGGAAACGACTACAACTTTTGAAGAGTTACAAGCGATTGTTGCAGAAGACTATGGAATAGAACAGAGTACAGTTGATGTGGAGTTAAGTTACTTACCCACGGATCTTAGCTTGGATTGTCCTCCTGTTGTAATGATGAATAACAGACAGGTTAGTAATTTCCTTTCGTACTGTAAAAGGAAAAATACGATCAAGTTATGTGTGACGTTCAATGGTGGAGATAAAGATACAAGGAATAAAGAAAAATTCGATCTGAATAAGGAACCCGACGCTGCAAGTAATGGAGATGATGATGTTAATGTCGACGATGGAGATGATGATGTTAATGTCGACAATATTTTGTCATCATGGGGTGTGAAAGAAACTAGAAAGAATGCCGATAGTTTCAAAACTCCAAAAAATGCTATTGTTGGTCACGGACTCGGATCGTCGTCACAGTATTCTTGTGTGAGCCAGGGTCAGTATTTCAGAAGCAAAGAATTGTTACAATCAACCATGGAATTGTATGCGATGAAGTATAACTGTGACTACATGATTACAAAGTCTGATACAAAATTGTGGTGTATACGATGCATAGATGTTGGCTGCAAGTGGCGACTTCGAGCTGAGCGTTTAGAGCGGTCTTCGTATTTAAAAATCAACAAGTACGTGGGTAACCATACATGTGCTCCTTCCAAGAAAAGTAAATTCTGTCGAACACCTTCAGCAAAAACGATTGGACATATCATTATGCATAATTATGAAGGTGTGTTGGAAGGACCTAAACCGAATGATATCATCAATCTTATTCGGTCACAGTATGGACACGAGCTTAATTATTCGCAGGCGTGGGAGTCTCGTGAGTATGCAGTTAATGAAGTCAGAGGAATTCCTGAGAAAAGTTATGGTAAGATACCAAAATACTTGTACATGCTACAAGCAGCTAATCCTGGTACGTATACAAATTATGAAGTTGATTGTGATGGTAGATTCCAATATCTATTCATATCTTTTGGTCAGTCAATTAGAGGGTTTTACAAGTCAATTCGGAAAGTGATTGTTGTTGACGGTACGTTTTTGAAGAGTAAATACAAAGGAGTTCTTCTGGTTGCTACAGCCGTAGATGGTAACTCTAATTTGTATCCAATCGCATTTGGCGTTGCTCGTTCTGAGAATGATGCATCATGGGAGTACAGATGTGGATTCCCGATGTAAGTACAGTACTGCATCTATTTCCTGCGATGCAATTATTTTTAAAAACAAATTAGTATTTATCGAAATGAATACGTAATCAGTCATGAAAAAAAAAATAGTAAAACTTACATCGTTGCCTAGCCATTGTTTTTGATCAATCAGACGCTGAAATAGTGCATCAGTTAGATGAGATGGACCGAGTTTTGGAACATCACGACTGTAATGAAGGTAAAACAAAAAGAATAAACAATTATACAATCAGGTATATTTAAAAGATATAAAAATAAAATCATAGGACTTACTTTACGTTCCTAAACCATGCTTCAAAAGCAGTCCATCTAGCTTCAGGTAAGTATACCAACACCGCGTCAGCGTCATATTTACCCGAATCACCCTTATCATTCCAATCCATAAACTCTGCAGTGTCGTCTTTGCGCTGTTGTTTCTCGAGGTTTTGTGAAAATATACCCTGTGATGGATCAAAACCCGGTGCTTGTGATTTTTGAGAAAGATGTCCCATTTCTTTTTGCAGAAAATCTGGATCTTGCGAATCCATATTAAGGTCTATTTCACCCGGACGGGTGAATAATTCATGAAACAGACAATTATCGTCCTGCAAAGACAGTCAATGTAAATATCAAAACAAAAACAAACAAAATAACTAAGTCTGAAATTACAATACATGCCTTTAAATATTATAATGCATAAGTTACTAAATAGCCTAATTACAAGGTTTTACATAAGTTTTTACTTCTTACGAAAGCTACAAACACAAAACATATAACAGAATTACAATGTCATACAATGCTAAAATACAACAACAGAAGCTTTGGTTTTTATTTTTAACGTACCACTGGTTGACCATTACCGAATGGTGGTGCCTTGTCTTTTTTCGAATTCTCATCCATAGTGATCACTGCTTTCTTGAGTGTTGCTACATCTAGCTCTATCTTTCCTAATTTGTTGCCTACTTCTTGCCCAAAATGCTTGAAAGAAGTTTCAAACATTTCTCTGATGAATGTTTTCATCTCTTCATCAAAACCATGTGGTGCGGCTGGAGCTCTTTGACATAACAGTTTCATCTTCCTTGTCTGTGCACCGTGGTCACCGTCCTTACTCCTTCTCTTCTTTGAACTTGTCGCCATTTCATGCTCATTACTCTGCAAACCAGAGAGTAGGCTACCTTCAACAGTGACATTCGCCTCTTCCTTGTCATTTGTATGTATCTCACCTTGACCTTCCACATAGCCATCTTCTACTAAATCCTCATCTATCGTTTCTTCCTCGACATCAGGACTCTCAACAGCATCCCACTCAAAGTCAGAAAAATCATAACCAGTTCTTATCAAAGCGTTTAAGTTCTTCAAAGCAACATCACTGTTCTCACCTTGCCTCAGGAAATCCACTGACTCATATACATCATAATTTCCTGTGATGGAAATGTATGGATATACAATATCCTACAAAATAATATTTACTTATCAGAAATGCAGCAAACCCATATGAATTGTTGAGTATATATGTATGAAAATTAAGCTACTAACCTCTGCTGTCATTCCTGACTCTAATTCGATAATTTCTTGATAAGAAACTTTTGCTGCCCCTTTCCAGTTAGAACATCTAAGAGAAGCTCCCAAGTTCTTGTTAAGATTCACTCCTAATATTCCTCCTATTTTAGGAACTGCTTCCATAGCCCATATCTGTAGTGCAATTGAGAAACCATCAAGGGCGTAGCTTTTAGTCTTCTTCAAGTCCTTTTTTGCGTTTGTGATCGACTCGACAAGATAGTCAAACGAATGTAAACCCCAAGGATACGCCCTTAACTTCTCAAGATCCATCACCAATTTGATGTAATGTACTGGAATAGCTTTCTTCTCATCTTTCGCAATTACCAAACCAGCAATCACACACAAATAGACAAATCTAATCCTATCTACTTTACCCCACTTGTGAACTGCTCCTAGATGCGTAGACATCATCGTCTTAATGCATATCTTCTCCTCTCTTTTCAGCAACTTGCTCCAAAACCCCTTATCATCTTTCCAAGTATCTAAATCATACTTGAAATCATCATTGTATTTCAGCCCAGTCACTGCGTAGAACTCTTGCAAAGAAAATCGGAGAGGCTTGTTTCCAAACACAAACCAGAGCTCATGCTGTTTTCTTGTTACCAACTGCCTACACATTAGGCTATGCACCAGACGACCCGAATAATGTAAACCATTTTCGTATATGGCGAAGACTTGTGCAAACAGAGGATCAGACTTCACTTTCTTATACTCTAGTGGCAAAGCATCTTTGATTTTCCTAAGTATCGATAATCTGCAGCTGTTGTTAATTTTCTCAACTTCAAGCTCTTTACCATTTCCGAAAATGAGCTTGGGAAACTCCTTAGTAGTGGCTGCACATAAAAAACAAACATATGTAAATAAAACCATTCACAGTGATGACTAATTATAGTGCATAGTTGCAGTTAGCAAACAAAAATTAGTATGTTAAAGTACCTGATGTCTTACTCGTGCTTCCTAGATTGTTTTCCATTGATAACCTTTGATGTAATGTAGATCCAAAACCTGAAAATAGAGAACAAACTAGCTTTATCAAATATTTTAAGTTATTAAGAGACAAAACACTTGATATAAAAATAAACCTAAGAGGAGATTCTATTAAAAACAAGAAAAAGTACAAACACACACACACAAGAAGTGAAAGTATGTCACTGAAATTACAAACACACACACACGAGGAGATTCTACTGCAAATGATGTCACTGAAAGTACCCTAAATAATCAACCGGTAAGTGAAAGTATTTGTTTTTACAAATACATTTTATAAATTTGACAGTGTTTTCACCATTGAAATCACATCCCATAAGGCTCCTAGAGAAAGAAAAATTGGGTCTTAGTAACTTAATCACGTCAATTCATTCTCTTCACTCTACATGACATAATCAAACCCTACGTAGGAAGCTGTATAGAAGAAACGCAAATTAATACTAATGTGTTGAAAGTGAAGGACTCTAATTATCCAAGTAAAGTAATTCTGCTAACTGCAAGTAAAGTAATCATTGAAAATCAATGAATTTGAAAATCTATTGATTTTCAGACATAAAAATCTACATAAATCAATGAATTTGAACCCAAACACATATACATTAACATGAATCAAAGAGTGAAAGACTTATTCAATCTACATTCAATTGAAATTTGGAAGTTTAAAACTCATGAAATTGAAATCTCTAATCAAGTTACAGGAATTCAAAGTTATAAACAAATCTATTTTTATGTTGTTAGTGTATAGAGAAGAATCAAAATTGGGGAACAACATGTGAAGACCTAGAAAAAAACAGAGAAGGGAAAGACGAACCGGGAAGAGCTTCAAGCTGATATCAAGAGGAAGCAAGACGGCTGACGACTCGCCGGCGACAACGCTTGAGAGAAGGCTGAGGAATCGCCGGCGGCACACTTTGTTTTTTTCGCCGGCAGCACACTTTGTTTTTTTCTCCGAGAGTTTGTCTTCGAGAAGAAAAAAGACTTTTAGTCTTTTAAGGTCTTATGAAAGACTCTGATTTATTTGGAGGTTATGTGATTTTCTATTTCTATTTTAATTGTAAAATCAATTATGAAGTTTTATTTTTTAAATTAATTTTGAGAGAAAATAAGGGTAAAGTTGGGTTTTGATTTTTCAAAAAACCTATTTGACCAATCTACAAAAAAAAGGTGCATATAGACAAATTTTTAAATAGATATCCTTTATTTCCAATTTTCCCAAAAAAAAAATAATGAGTCTCTTCATCTTATCCCTTTATTCTCGCTTTCTTTACTCTGCTTTTGCCCCTATCCTAATCCTATGTGTTTTGTCTATTCTTACTTTTTCGACCAAACTAAAAAAATTACTGTGTCAAATCTTCTTTTTAAAGGATAGTGAGATTGTGTTAAAAAAAAAAAAAGGATAGTGAGACAAATTACTTTTGGGAAACTGTTGGAAGAGTGGACTAAAATAGGATTGCAGGAGCTAAGTTCAAAATTTAATAGAAATCAAATGTGTACAAAACAAAACCAACACCAATGAAGTGGTATAACTCTCCAATGTCTAGAAGGTAACAAAAATGGTTAAAATTTTCAACGAGTGGTTTCCAAATATAAACTAATTTACTGGTCTAAACCTACAATTTAGTTTTTTTTTTTTTTCTTTTTGGTCAAACCTACAATTTAATTTACTAGTATAAACTTTTCAAACAAGAGAATTAGTACGAATCAAATTCAAGAAATTTACCCACTAGAAGAGAGAAAAATCAAAATAGTCTACTTTTTGCAAGTGGTCCGTGGGTGCATTTAAGAGTGAGGGACATTGTTCGTGACCACGAGAGCACGCACACATACCAAAAACTCAATGAAAAGACAAAAGGAAAATAAAAAGAGAGAAAAAATGTATATACACAAATAGAATAACAACTATTCGTGGAAGAAAAAACAGAACAGAAGAATTCGAATATACAGTCAAATGCTTCAAATATTTGTATTTTTATAAACAAAAAAAATGTAAAATATTAAAAAACTTTAAAATGCTTCAAATTTTTGTAAATTTATAAAAAAAAAAAACTGTAAAACGAAAAGTCCTAAAATAAAAAGGTGAAGACTAAAAATATCTTGTACAAATCTAAATTACAGACAAAGAAATTTTGTTTTTCAAAGTTTGGGATAATACTCTCTAATCTCTCTCATCCACACTAATATAAATAGGATACAAATACACAACACAATACCAAGAAGATAAATCCAATCTTTTTTTTTTTCTCTCTCTCTCTCTTTCCTTTTCCGTTTCTCTGACATAACTCATAGATCCTGATTGATCTGGAAAAAAAAAATGGTGAAGAAGCAATCGTCATTACACGTTCTTGGTGTGTCTGTTTTGATGGTGTTGTTATGTTGTGTTAATTACAGTCTCTGTGAAAAGATCAAAACCTATAAGCTCACAAGAGGAAGCTTAAGTGTTACCTTCACTAACTATGGTGCTGTCATGACCTCTCTTCTCCTCCCTGACAGACATGGTCTCTCTCCCTCTGTCTCTCTTCCATTTTTTACTGGTGAATTTTCTCTGTTTTAAATCTGATTTTTGTTTTCTTGTTCTAATGATTCAGGAAAACAAGACGATGTTGTTCTTGGATTTGATACTGTTGATGGTTACAAGGTTATTTTCATTTTCTTATCTTGAGTTAAAATTTTCTCATTTCCTAATTTTTGCTATCACATTTGTTTTGGTCAAAATCTTGGGGTTTGGATAGAACTCGATGTCCGGCTGGAAAAAGCCTTTCCTTTTAAGATTGTCACGCCTATCCACTTATTAAAAACGAATTTAACTTTTGTATAACCCACGTGAGATGATAGGCGTTATTGTTAGAAACAATGAATTTAATAATAATTTTTTTGTTTTGGAATTTCTTTTTGTATAGAATGATACAACATATTTTGGAGCAATTGTGGGAAGAGTGGCAAATAGAATAGGAGGTGCTAAGTTCAAATTAAATGGTCAATTATACAAAACCGATCCCAACGAAGGCCATAACACTCTACATGGTACAAAACCGACCGCATAATAATTCTTCAATTGATTTCATTTCTATTTATTTAAATTGTTATTGATGGTTTTTGTTATTAAAAACTAATAATCAGGTGGTACAAAGGGATTTAGCGATGTGATTTGGTCAGTCCAAAACTATGTTCCCACTAGCCACATTACTTTCACATACAATAGCTTCGATGGTGAAGAAGGTAATTTATATTAAATAGATATTATTATCAATTTATCATCGTGAGATAAAAACAAACTATAAGATTTTTTAATTTTATTCTAACCCATACTATTACTCACTTTAATATACCAAAAAAATATATATATATCTTTTCTTTTACAACAACCAGAATATATTTTTCGAAAACTACCAATCCGATGAGTAACACGCGTTTAACGGTAAAATTACGTTTTCTATGCGATTATGAAAAAAATTACCAATCAAAAAAATTTGCAACACAAAACATAAAATTGGCGTTTTCGTAGAAAAAAATACAAATAAAATTTCATTATACAAATAAATAGGTATATAGTTTTTTTGTGATATAACTTTTTTTTTTTTTTTGGTAACAATTGTGATATAACTTACTTCGCCATTATGCAAATGTATCCATTGATTTTGTGGATGTTTGATTTCACATTAATCCAAAATTTCCTAAACTTTCGAGTTTTTTATGAACTTTTTATTTTCCGTCGTTCGAAAACTGAAATGTAATTCAATTATTTTTGACAGGTTTCCCGGGAAATGTGACGGTGAAGGTGACGTACATGTTGATCGGAGAAAACAAACTCGGCGTTAAAATGGAAGCAAAACCACTCAACAAACCAACACCGATCAACTTAGCTCTCCACACTTACTGGAACCTCCACAGCCACAACTCCGGCGACATCCTCTCCCACAAAATCCAACTCCTCGCCGGAAAAATCACTCCAGTCGACGATAAACTCATCCCCACCGGCGAAATCACCTCCATAACCGGAACTCCTTACGATTTCCTCGAGCCTCGCGAGATCGGAAGCCGGATCCACGAATTACCCGGCGGTTACGACATCAATTACGTCATCGACGGACCGATCGGGAAACATCTGAGGAAAACTGCGGTTGTGACGGAGGAAGTCACCGGAAGGAAGATGGAGCTGTGGACGAATCAGCCTGGTGTTCAGTTTTACACGAGTAATATGATGACACGTGTCGTCGGAAAAGGTAAAGCCGTTTATGAGAAATACGGTGGCTTGTGTTTGGAGACGCAAGGCTTCCCAGATTCCGTCAATCACAAGAATTTTCCGTCTCAGATTGTTAATCCCGGCGAGAGTTATTTGCATGTTATGCTCTTCAGATTCACTGCTCACTAATCGGGTCGGGTCGGGTTTTTAGGGCTTAATCTTTCCGATTAAAGAAATAATTTGGGGCTTGTGGTAATGCCCAATAAAAATATTCGACTTTTGCAGAAAATTAATTTGTTAAAAGTTGTTTATTCTTCAATTTGCAAAATGTTAAAAGATTATTTTCCACAAGAAAGTTCTAAATGTTTAGATGATTTCAGACGAAAACATAAGACGGTTTAAGGTTTTTTTAATGAACTAAGGAGCAGAGTTGGTAGTAGGGGGCTTCTTGAACTCGATCTTGTCGACTTTAACTTCTCCATCGATTAGCTCATAGACGTAGACCACAGCTCGGAAACCATCGATGTCCATAAGAACAAAGCTTGGGTTAACATCTTGGTTTATGCTGCTATAAGCTCCGGTTGCAGAGCCCGGGTTTATCACCACGCCTCCCTCATGTTTGTAGGCTGTGAATTGGTGGGTATGGCCTGTTACAAGAATGTCCACGCCGAGTTGTCTCTGAAGCATGGCGAGTGAGTCTAGATCACCCCATGGGATCACCTGTACATACAACAAATAGAGAAGCTCTTTTTCATACCACTGCAAATAAGTTCTTAAAGTTTAGTTTGACTTGACCATTGCTTCCTAAGGAACATGGAAGAACCATAAAACCAATTTTCATGATGACAAGACGTGGAGAAATAGAAAAACAAACCTAAAGGACGCATCTCTTTCATATTTTAGTCTAAAACATTGACATGGAAAATCAATGGTACTTAAACTGACTTTCCCGTTTACTATTCTCCAAACACGTTCTTTATCATAAATAGAAAAAGTTATGTGTTGATTAGAGGCATCTAGACAAAAGCAATTTATCACTGTTTACCATATGACAACGTAATGACTAGACAGAATAAGTATTTGATGTGATGAATTTTGTCAATCAGAGCCTGATTACATTGTCATGCAAATAGCAATAAGCGAGCAAAATCTAAAAGGCAAACAAAATTCAGTTTTCTAGTCTGGAAATTCCGAGGAACAGATGATGTATAATACGAGGGATTATTCATATGAAGCAAAATGCTAGTGTCTAACTCGTAAAGCTCACAATGAAATGTGCAAGAGAAGAGAAACTGAACCTGGTGGCCGTGACACAGTCCCAGCTTGAATTGCCCGATAGTCAAGGTTTTGTTCTCAGGGTATCGCGCATCTTCGTCAAACTCCCCTCGAACTATATGCAAATCAGGGCAGATAGTCTTCAAGTAGTCATGGATTTCCTAAAACAGTCAAAAGATGTTAAGCTTACCACAAACATGAACCAGGAAAGACTTCACAGCATAAGAATAAATCAGGTCTGCAACTCCTCTAAAATGGTTATCAACTAAACGCCTCATAAATTTCTCAACACATCTTCCAACTAAAAGAATATCTTTGAATTCTCATAAATGACTCATCGATGCTGACTTGATCACTTTGCAATTCCATCCGTCATAAGCAAATCTAAAACTAACACTGTAATGAAATTCATCTTCCTATATTCTACGACTCTCACACTACAAGGTGCGAATTAAAATCTGCACAATCCAGAAGATACAGAACAAGCTCCGAGTAGATCACATGAGATGAACAATCACTATTGCGTCTCCTATTCCATTTTTCAGTAATTCTCACACAACCAAGTAAGAAATTACTTCTGAACAACCCGATACAGGATATACTTAGAGTAGGTTGTATCAGATAAGAATCAGCATATAAGCTTGAAATTAGAGTCTATTCTCGTTCTGAATCTACTTATATTCCTCATAAGTAAGTATCCCAAAAAAAATTACATCAGACAAGGACATTAACGAAACAAATAAAGCATAATAGAGATGTAAAGAGTAAATATTTGAGAGAACCCTACTTTGATGCAGAGATTTCCAGTGCAGATGATGTGTTGAATCTTCCCAGGAACAAGCATTGATTTGAACTTAGGAGGTAGATCAGCAGCTCTATGGGGTACATGAAGATCCCCCAATGCCAATACCAGCACCATTTCAAACTTTCACGAGAAATAAAAAACCTTCAAAAGAATTAGTAAAAAAAAAACACCAATCAAAGAAAGATCAAAGTTGTCACTTTTGAGTTTTGACACTAAGCATAAAGAATCTGGCTTGAGAAACAGATCAAAAAAACAAAAGTCAATGAGATCGAACGATACAATGTGGAATCATTTCCAAAACCCTTCCAACAAAATCACAACACTAACGTAATCAGATATCGTAAAGTTTCAGTTCACCACAAATGTTAAGCCTTTCTTTCACTAAAATCGAACCTAAATAAGATTTAGTGCAAATCAAACATAAAAGCATGGTTTTTGACACAAATTAAACAAAACCCAGATGTAATTTAACATAAATATTAACCAGTAGCTGCGTCGAAGAGATTAAAGGGCTTGTTAATTGACTCTAACTAGAGAGAAGAAATCGGCAGAAACTTGATACAAAGGTAGATTTCCCCAATAGTTAAAAAAGCGAAACTTAAGAAGATCAGAGCTTACCAGATCAAATATCGAAGAAGATTCGTGATTGAAAGGAGTTTTATGAGTTTGTTCGTGGGGATCTTCTCAGCGATCGCCCATGGAAGATCCTTTGTTTTTCCTTTTCTCTTCTCTCTCTCTCTCTCTGATGATCTTAAAAAAGGAACAATATTTAAAAAGACTGAGATTTTAGAATTAAAAATTATAATTTTATATCTTTTCAACATTTTGACATTTTTATAAAATTTAGGTATATTTATTACTTTATTTCTTGAAATATATAGATTTTATGTTTTTATTATTGCATCCATAACATTTCTAGTGTTTTTTTTTCTTTCATAACTTAGATTATAGATAGGTTTAAAATATAAACTGATATGTTTTAAAAATATTATTATTATATTTATAATAGAAAAAAAAAAACACTAGAAATGTTATTGATGAATGATGACAATAATAAAAATACTAATAGCTCTATTTCATGAATACTACTCTTCTACTTCTAAAAGCATACTCAAATATATACGAACCGTTCTAATTTTTGAACGCAATCTAGGATTTTCATTAATACTTTACAAAAGTTTTTTTATTTATATAATCCAATGATGAGAGTTTTTAATTAGTTTAACACAATTGCCATTCATGATTTTTGGTTCAAACCTAACCAAAAGAAGGAACACAGATTTTTAATCATTTTCCTTGTCGTCTCCTCGCCATCCAATACCCACTTCCGAAACCAAACCTAATTTCGATCCGGTTTAGAATCAATACTATTTTTTTGGATTCACATCCAGAAACACACTCGCTGTAGATCTAAAGGAGATATGTCGTGTATCACCGTTGACACTTGACACGCAATGAACCCACCAATCCCCCATTTGACTTCTACCGCAAGCCACATTTAGAGATCACCTTGACCCGGTTCGATTTCCTCCTTCATGGTTCATTTGCGTTCTCTAATAGCTACTGACTCGACGAGTATGTTTATTATAATAGATCTCGTCGCTGGTAACTAGCCACTGCATGCCTCGAACAACAAATCCATCATGCTTTATGACTGTCCGAGAAAAAAAAAAAACTATTTACCATTAAACGACCATTACCAACAATAAAAAATTTACAGAAGAAAAAAAAATCTTGAATTTGATCTAAAAAAAAAAGACGAAAAACAAAGATTAGGCTTTTCTTTCTCTCATGACTAAAAGCTTTTCATTCATTTTTTAAACTTTCTCATATATATTCTACCGAAAAATTGTCTAGTAAACAACTGAATACATGGATAACTTTGCTCAAACTGTCATAACGAAAACAAAGATTTTGTGTGTTTTTTTTTTAAATAATAATTGTAACTGTAACTCACAATCTGTTTTTACTCACTTGATCAACACTGGAAAATTCTAAAAAAATATCAGTGGAATGTTTTCCAAGCTTCTTCGTCGTCTTTGTACAGCTTACATGAGATTTCTCTATAGAAACTGGATCTATTCGAGGAAATTGTCTCTAAGCATAAAGTATTTGAACATTTTATGTTATAATCTAGGATACCATGCATGTATTCTTGAACGTCTAAAGTATCTCAGACACACAAACTAATCTTATGGATGTGAATCCGAGAAGTAATTGTATATTTGGGACATATATGGACGAATACAATATGTGTATATTCAACTTGCGACTAGCGAGAATCTGTTAACAAAAAAATGACTACAAACTTGTTTTTAAAAACATTGTGTATAGCACTTGCCTTGATTTTCTTGTATCCAGGACTTGCCATATTTGGCCTAAAAAATAGCCATAAGGCTTTTGTTTCTCTTTTTATAATAAAAAACCAAAGAGAAAACTTCGATTTGTTGTCGCCATGTTCTTTCTAATTGTTTGATATGTTGTGTGTCATAATTCATAAATACTATAGCTCACACTAAAAACAGTTTTATTATGTTTTTACATACCAATACAAAACTATATCAAGAAAGCTTCAACTTTTAAATAATATTTCCCAACTGTTGGCAAAAAGAAAAAATATTGGCCACTAGGTTCGTCATTGTCAACAGTAGTTTTGCTGTCAAAAGTTTTTAATTAAACAAGATAATGAATCAAACATGAAAAAAAAAACAGAGAAAATTTGTATCATATTTGCTATGGCACGTCAATTTAGAACAACATGCTACATTTTATTTAGTTGTAAATATAAAATATTATTTATGTAATTTTAAATTTTGTGTCAAAAATTTTATTACATGTATTTCCCATTATAATATGGCTATCCTTGATGGTTAAATTACTATATGTATCTTCATTTTTCTATAAATTAATAACTAATTTTTTTTTAAGGTTTGAAGTTCCTAACACCATTTCGGTGTTTAAGGTTTATGTTCACAATCCGCATAGAGCCTTTTAATGCTTGAAGAACATGCATCAAGATCGAATCTCTTTGTTGCACAATGTTTGGACCTAATCCAATTCTTTGAAGAATGTGTGTTGTCACTTTTTGGTATTGGTTTCTTTATTCCCCCTTATGATTGAATTATTTCTCCGACGATAACAAAAACATATTTTTCCATTAAAACTTTAGTCAAACAATCGAAACCATGAAAAAATCTTAAATTCAATACCTTTTCTCATGTCTAACGGGTTTGTAACACGCCTTGAATTGTGTCATCAGCTGATGATGCTGTACATGAATCAATTTAATTTGTTAATTTTTGTCAATGAGGATTACTTAATTATATCATGCTTATTAAATTATGACTTAACTAAAGACAAATTGCCCATAATCTATAGAAATTTATATCCTCGCCCTTTGGTAACCCTTTCTTGGTCCACTATAAGATTTATTTAGGAGTGTCAAAATGGTTTAAAATTGATGGATCAATCCAAACCAATCCAACTCATGGATTTAAGAGCAACCCCAATGGGAGTATTTTAGTGGGTTTCTCTGATTTTAAATAATAAAAAGTAATAGATATGTATGAAAGAGAAAAAGACAAAGTTCTAAAACAAGGATTTTTTGAAAGAGGTTGAGAAACTCAAGTGACATATGGCATGATATAACTTGTCAATTTTGTTATTTATGATCAAAAATATATAAAAATAAATTAATTATATTAAAATAATTAAAATATTGTTTTTAAGAAACTGATAAGGATTTTGAACGTTGGGGTTGCTCTAATGAGTTGAAAATTTAGATATTAATGGATTAGTGGATTGAATGGTTTAATGAGTTTCATGAGTTGGATTGAAATGGTTTGGTTAAAATGGATTAATAGGTTATCCATAACCAAACCAATAAAAATTAAATAATTGAATATCAAATATATAAACCAAATATAACTAAATTGAATAGCTAAACCGATTTTAGTAAACCGAAACAAACATAATTTTCTTAAATCGCTTAACCACTTATTCAATGGTCGAATTTTAATGTGGAAACTAAAACTGTCATAGAGAAATGTAGCCACATAATGATAATTATCCAATTTTCAATTTCTAGTTGAATATACTGTAAATCAAATATGAATTAGTTCGAAGGAATAAGATTATGAAATTTTACCACACATACACACAAGCAAAAAAGAAAGCCCTTTTTTCAATAACGAGTTATGATTTTATCCGTAAATATTAAAAGAATGAATGGATAATAATCTTTAAAAATATGCTTAAAAACTGTTTTGATAAATTATCTCTATATTGTTTTTTTACCCTCATCATTTTGTTCATGCATAATTATACAAAAAACTCTTCTATCTTCTATGCATTATATCTCTTTGTCTTCATTCTTTTTGCACTCTCTTCCACTAATAGTTACGTTCTTTTATTTTTCTTCTTATTAAAAGTCATATTTGTACATAATATAGCTATCAGTTATTGAAATTATTTCAAGAAAATCATTAATATCGTTTTATTTCGTAGATAAACAACTAGTATAAAAAATCCGAATATCCTAAAATCATTTTGTTTGACAACATATCCAATGATTATCATAATCATTACTTTATTTATTAAAGAGTAAGTAGTTAAAGAGTCTGGTTGGTAGTTAGTATCAACCCAGAGAGAATCTTTTGGACTCGATCAAAGAAACACCTTCCCATTAAAAACCTCAAAAGTTGAAGTCAAAACATCTCTTACAACAACAAAACCTCTCAGATTCTTCGCTTTGTGTTTCTCTTCTTCAAGCTCTGTCTCTTAATGGGCGATACCGGTAGACACAAATGGTTCTCCTTTCACCACCACCGCTCAGCCTCCGCCACGTCTATGCCACAACACAACAGCCCCGGCGAAACTCCGACAGAGTTCCTCTGCCCCATCACCGGATTCTTGATGTCAGACCCCGTCGTCGTCGCTTCAGGTCAAACATTTGAACGTATCTCCGTCCAAGTTTGTCGGAATCTCGGTTTTGCACCGAAGCTTCACGACGGAACTCAACCGGATTTATCCACTGTAATCCCAAATCTCGCCATGAAATCAACAATTCTCAGCTGGTGCGATAGAAACAAAATGGAGCATCCTCGTCCTCCTGATTACGCTTACGTCGAAGGTGTGGTTCGTACCCGTATGGATTCAATTCCTCCGGGTACGGGTCATCGGATCGCTAAATCGGAAATCTTACCTCCGGTGGCTGAGAATTCAAATTCGAATTCGGATTCAGATTATGAATCTGTAATGGGAGCGATTCGTTCTCGTTCAAGAACTTCAATTTCGTCGAGCACTTCTCTTCCACTTCACCAAACCCGACCCGTTAATCACTCGACCCGGATCCCTAACTCATTCTCTACATCGGATTATTCATCTTTTCCTCCGATGTCACCGGAAGAAGAAGAGATCTACAACAAATTAAGCAGCGTAGACACAATCGATCACGAGCAAGGTCTGATTCAGCTAAGGAAGACGACGAGATCAAACGAGAGCACGAGAATCTCTCTTTGCACTGATCGGATTCTCTCATTACTCCGATCTCTGATCGTTTCACGGTACAACATCGTGCAAACAAACGCCGCCGCATCGATTGTTAATCTCTCGTTAGAGAAACCTAACAAATTGAAAATCGTACGGTCAGGATTCGTTCCTTTATTGATCGATGTTTTGAAATCGGGATCAACGGAGGCGCAAGAACATGTAATCGGAGCTTTGTTTAGTTTAGCGGTTGAGGAAGAGAACAAGATGGTTATCGGAGTTCTCGGTGCGGTGGAGCCGCTTCTTCACGCGCTTCGATCATCGGAGAGCGAGAGAGCTCGTCAAGATGCGGCGCTTGCGCTTTATCATCTGTCGTTGATTCCGAATAACCGAACTAGGCTGGTTAAAGCCGGTGCGGTGCCGATGATGCTATCTATGATCAGATCCGGTGAATCGGCAAGCCGGATTGTTTTGTTACTATGTAATCTTGCGGCTTGTTCGGAAGGGAAAGGAGCGATGCTTGACGGGAACGCGGTGTCGATACTGGTCGGGAAATTGCGAGAAAGTGGAGGAGGTGAGTCAGACGCGGCGGCGCGTGAGAATTGCGTGGGGGCTTTGTTGACGTTGAGTATAGGGAATATGAGGTTTAGAGGACTGGCGAGTGAGGCAGGTGCGGAGGAGATTTTGACGGAAATTGTGGAGAGCGAGAGCGGAAGCGGGCGGTTGAAGGAGAAAGCGGCAAAGATTCTGCAGGCATTGAGAGGCGGAGGGAGTGATTTTGGAGAAGGTGCGGAGGCGCGTGAGTGGAACCGTATGTTGGAAGCGAGTGGGCTAAGTCGTTCTCAGTTTCAACAAGGAGGGCAAAAAGGGGGTTTCGCTTATTCCTCTCAGTTTTAGCTCTATGCCTCTATTCAATTGATATTTTTATTTTCATTTTCTTGCCCTTTTTCTTGTTGGTAAATTTTTTCTCAAAGATTTGTGTTTTTTTCACTCTTTTTTTGTGACTTAAATTTTGGGAGTGAATTTGTAATATCTGATTTTTAGTCTTCTTTGATTTGTCTTTTCTAATGAAACGACAAATTGTAAAATGTTCGTTATTTCGTTTGTAAAGAGTTGCTCGTGTTTTATTTGTGAGATTGTTGACAAACAAAAGTCGTCTCAAGAAGTTACTCTTTACGTTTGTAATGTTTGGTGTACCGTCTCAATTATTTTTTTATTAAGATTTGGAACGAAGATTTAGTCGTTGGTCAAATAATTCCATGGTCAACGTTTAATTTGTACAAGTTGGAACAATCTACAAAAATTCTTCTGCCGAGAAGAAGTCATGTGATCCAATCACCAATTTGCCATTCGTCATGCAAACACGTCATGGGTACATAGCCACACATTCCCTATGGACCCTATTTATATGTTACCCTATTGAATCTTCTTTATGCTAAAGAATTAACCACGAGCGAATTACACTAGTTACAAGTGATAACATAGTACTCCCTCCCCGGGGCGGATCCAGAAAATAATTCTATATAGGGCACCACATATATAAATATTAAATATAATTCAATTAGCTAAATTTTTTTATGATTATAAAAAAAAAATAATGCATTTGTAGCAGTTTGGGGACTTGAACTTGGGTTGATATGAGGCACACTAAGCTAAAAACCATTTAAGCTACGTGATTTTTTTTTGTAAAAGCACAGCTTATATGATATTTATAGCATTTAGTATGGGGCACAGGCCCCACCTACCTTCAACGTGGGTCCGCCCCTGCTCCCTCCGTTCTTTTATAAATGATGTTTTAGGAGAATGCACACCGATTAAGAAATCATTTAATTTTTGTTTATTTTTAAACAAAAACATCATTTATTATCTAATCAACCAATAGAAAAATAATCTGCATAATATAAATCATCAAAATCAATAAAAAACTAATTAATATTGCATTGAAAACTGAAAACATCATCTATTTAAGAACAACAATAAAAGCTTAAAACATCATTTATATTAGAACGGAGGGAGTATTAATTAGTAATTAAACTCTTGTTGCATGGTATGAAACAATTTGCTTTAGCTTAATTTTTGAAGAGTTATGGACTGAGCCCATATATTGCTCCATCTATCGAAACAAATTTAGATCTTTTAATGCCTTAACATCTAATAAATAAAGATTTTTTTGTTATAGAATGTAAATAGTCATTAAAATAAAATGTTTAGGTTTTATAAGAGTTATTAAAACAAAAAATAAAGATGCGAGATAACATTATCATTAAGGCATAACCGTTGTATAAGTTTAGTATTGCCGCTCTCAGTGGCGGAGGTAGCATAGAAACATGGGGGTCAACTGACCCCGGTGAATTTTCAAAATCAAACTAATATTATGGCATATTTAAACAAATACATAGATATTTGATTAAATTCCTATAAATTGACCCCAGTGCCTAATATGAAAACTACTCTTTTGACCCCTTAAACCATAACTTTTTTAATATTACAAAATGATATAGACTATAACCACTAATTGTTATATATAAGTTTCTTTGTTTTTAATTTTATTATCATGTTTTAGACAAACCAAATGTTTTTATAAATATCAGAATTTCATTTTTGTAAATGTAATAAAAAAAACATAAGCTATATGCAATATAATTTGAAGAAAAAAAACAACCACACTTTATTAAAATATTTTTTATATTTTGACCCCGGTAAATTTAAATTCTAGCTCCGCCACTGGCCGCTCTTTCTTCTCCCGAATACGATATGGCGAGGGCCGGGAGTTCAGTAAGTTCAAAAAGAGGAGTTGGAGTTTGAGGAAAAGATAGTCGGATATTAGAGGTGAAAGAGGAACCAGATGTACAAGGTGGTCCTATTAATTTGGTGGCCTAAAGCAAAATAACAAAATAGGGTCTAATATTCTTTTAACGAAATTTTATTGATTACACATAATAGTTTTTATTTTATGTTATATGATATTATTACTTATCAAAAATATATTTATCAATGATTTATACTAAGAAAACTATGTCGACATAATTTTTTTTTTTTAAAACTCACATTATTGTGAAAAACAGAACAAGGTAAAAAGAAAATATGGACAAAATAAATGTAACTATATGCACTGGAACCCTTGACCATGAAAAAATAATCCTAGACAGCTAACACTACACCACTTAACACTACACTTAACACTGAACCCTTGTCTAAGATTTCAAAATGATGCCTCAACTTTTTAATATTTATTTGTGCCTAAAGCGGGAGCTTTATGGACAGGTTGGGTCTGCAGACGTAGCAAGTTAACTAGGTTCATAACATATATAATCACAGTGGCGGATCTACGGTATGAGTAGGGTGGGCACGTGCCCTACACTTTTTTTTTCAAGTACTTTTGATTGTTATAACTACAATACACCACGTTATTATACAAAGAAAACATTAAAAATGTCTTAATAGCCAACTAAAAAAAAGCAAATGTCTCTTAGCCTACATAAATGCTAAGTGAAAACGTTAGTTATGAGATATTAGGTATGGTCGAGCTAAACAAATTTTAACACTACCAAAAAAAAAGCTAAACAAATTTTAAACCATTGTTTAGTTTATTTTGTTAAAACATATGTTTTCAAAATGATAAATGAAATAGTAGTGAAAAAATTTTAAAATATAAAAGAAAATAAGATAAATTTATAAAAAATAAAACAAAATATTGATGTAAAAAATTGTGCCTCGGACTAAAATAAGTTTTGGATCCGCCCATGTATAATCATTTAGATTACCGGAAAGAAAATTGGTACTTAAAATCTAATATCATATAAGTAAATCTTTGTGAACATAGTTAATTTGCTAATATATATATTTTTTTTTCGTCTAATTTGCTAATATTTATAGTTGTCAATTGATCGGTATGTCCGTGAACTAACCCATTTCATATCATTATGGACGGATCATGGTGAAGCTTAAAAACAAAATAGTATATTGATATGGAGATATGAAATATACAATGAGTAAGTTAGAGGTTGCAACTAATATAGATTACAACGAAATGATTTTGATATATTTATATATAATCTAACATATTGGTTAAATTATTAATGGTATTCCTTTTAATTATGCTTCTTTTTTTTGTCACAACTTTATGATTTCATAACTAAAACCAATTGCAACAATTTTTGTTTCTTATCATTTATACAACCTAGAAAAAACAGCATATTTAGGAAACCGGGTCTAATTTTCGTATACACAGAATTTAGTAAACCGATCCAGATTCCACTAAATTTTGTCATTTTGTGGGTAAGAAGAAGAATAAATCACTTCAAAACAAGAGAGTAAACCGATCCGAATATTGCACCGGTCGGTGGTTTTCCTACGAGATGAGTAAAGCCCAGAAAAGGAAACGCCTAAACCAAGACGACGGCGAATCAAAAACTCCGGCCATTAAATCCACCGTCGACGGCAGCAATCCTTACCCTACACTTCTTAGACCTACCGCTGAAGAGTGCCGAGAAGTAAGGGATGCTTTGTTGTCTCTCCATGGATTCCCTCCAGAATTCGCCAATTACCGTCGTCAGAGACTCCGATCACTCTCCGCCGTCGATGGTCACGATACACAATGTACGATGAAATCTGAGCCATTGGATGAAGCGGAAGAGGAGAGTGTACTTGATGGGCTGGTTAAAATTCTTCTTTCTCAGAACACAACTGAGAGCAATTCCCAAAGGGCTTTTGCTTCTCTTAAAGCTGCATTTCCGAATTGGGAAGATGTAAGTTTTAGGTATTGTGAAGTTTTAAGATTAGTGATGTTGATATAGTTATGAGTTTAGGTTAAGATTTAGTTATGGATCAAGGCATAAAGATGGTTCAATTAAAGCATGTTGTTGGACAAATTGGGGAATCTTTGAGCTTAATTCTACTTAAGATTTTGGTTAAAAGTTTTGAAGAAATGAATCTTGACATTGTTTAATGGAAAAGATTTGTGTTGATTTTGGTTCTTCTTTTGATTCCATTGTAGGTTTTGGCTGCTGAGTCCAAATCAATTGAGAGTGCTATAAGATGTGGAGGATTGGCCCCGAAAAAGGCGGTGTGTATCAAGAATATATTGAACCGTTTGCAGACCGAAAGAGGAGTACTGTGTTTGGAGTATCTGCGTGGTTTATCGGTCGAAGAAGTAAAAACTGAGCTCTCTCATTTTAAAGGAATAGGACCTAAAACGGTAATAGCCTCGCTCACTCGAAAGAAACAATTTAAAGCTTCTTATTCATAGTCCTTGTGACACCTAACTCTTGGTATCAATGTAACAATAAGAGTCAAGATAAACTTTGGAAACTGACGTAGGAGGTGGTATCGATGAATTGACAGGTTTCTTGTGTTCTGATGTTCAATCTCCAGCACAATGATTTCCCGGTAGACACCCATGTGAGTGTTTCTTGATATTCTTGGCGCTTGGTTGTTGTTTTTCATTGAGTCAAGCAGATCAAAAATGAGATATACAAAATCGACTGAAACAGGTGTTTGAGATCGCAAAGGCGTTAGGTTGGGTCCCCAAAACCGCAGACAGGAACAAAACCTACGTTCATCTCAACCGCAGGATCCCGGATGAGCTCAAGTTTGATCTGAACTGTCTGTTATATACGCATGGTAAGCTCTGCAGCAATTGCAAGAAGACTGTTGCTAAACCAAAAGCAAAAGCTAGAGTGGCATCTCCTGATGAATGCCCTCTTGTGGGTTTTTCTGATTTAGTTTAGATAACCAGAATTAGAACTCGTTTGTTTTGTGTCTTTCTTGACTTGTTGCTCTTAGTCTGATAAATATAAAACAAAATTACTAAGATGACACAATTGTTTTGCATCAAATACCAGATTCATAACAGTACAACGGAAGAGGTCTACAAATATCAATTATATAACTTCGGGGTCAAAATGAAATTATGCTTTAGGTATGGGTCAAAACAGAAAACACAAAATTACAATTTAAGCCGTATATTATTGAGAAATTTACAGGAAAAGACTCCTGCGATTTCGTCTCCGTTGTTGCTTATATGCTATAATCTCACTGTTTCAATTTTGGCTCCTCATCGGAAATGGCGTTTTTACTCAACACCTCGATTTCGTCTCACCTCAGATCTTGTTCACAGGTTTTGTTCTTGGATCGAATCTCTTTTAACGGATATGGTTCGATTCTTTTGATTTATGATAGGATCGTTCGATCTTTTGTAGAAGACTGATGGTGCTTTAGCTCAATCCCGTCGTGGGTTCCATGTGGAGCTAGGTGCTCGCGAGAAAGCTGTAAGTATCTTTTACATTTATCTCTGTTCTAGGGTAGGGATCAGGGATCGATTCGGTCAGATTAGATTGTTCAGAAAAGGAGAAAATTTGTTTTGGAAGGATCTTTGTGTGTCAAATAGTAATTGTAGGTAGTTTAATTGTTCTGAAAGTCTCGGTAAGCAAGGCCGAATCGAAATTAGCGAGGCAAAGCGGGATAGGGCTCCTGTAAGATTTGATTTTTTTTGATAGTTTCTCTGAGATTCATGTTTTTCCATGGTTGTGTTGTTACAGCTCTTGGCTGAAGATGCATCTTTGAGGAGATTTAAGTCGCATAAGAAAGGCGTGCACCGATTGAAGAGGATTGGAGATGTGCTCACAGTTGTTGTTGTTGCTGGTATGGGAAAGTTGTTTTTGTTTAATGATCAGTTTCTTTTTGTGAATCATCTTGTAGATTATAGGATGAATCTGAACTTGTTAGTCACTGATAAAGTGTTTAGAGATTCACTGCTTTTTCTTTTATCGATATTCTTTCGATCAAGAAAAGCTGCAGATGGAAATATATCCTTATTTTTCTGAAGATTTTCTTGTGCTTTACCATTATCTGATCACAGTGGAAGTAAATTGGATAGTAGATAATGTAGTAGCTGGGATTTGCATGGTTTAGATCCAATGGTATCTCCATTGCATTAATGTTATTGCATCCTCAGTTTAAACATAATCAGCACTTGGTAGAGTAGCGTGTGTGGTTTATATAGTTAGGGTTGATGACATAGTATTGTGTGTTGAGTTGAATAGCCTTCTGATGTGTGCTTGTTTCAGGATGCTGCTATGAGATCTATGCAAGAGTAATGATGAGAAAGAACGCTCAGGCTGCAGGAAGCTCATGAGTTTCTTTATCTCCCTTTTTAACAATCTCATAAATTCATCTTGTTACTCATGTTTGGCTTCTGAATAAGTGTGATGAAACGAAAAGGATTTTGTAATTTTCGTATGGCGAAACCTTTTATTTGTTATCCAGAAACCCAAATTCGCTTTACATGGAATCATGAAAGTCGGGCTTGAATGTATCACGAGCTCATTGATTATTAAAATCCAAATTCATCGAAGAATTCTCTGTGCTCTTCTCTTGTATTGTAGAGTTACGCGTGAAAGATGGTTCATAGTATTGTATTGTAGAGTTTATAGCCTGATCGTTGCTTCTGAGACTTCGATATCGAAAATGATTTTCTTTTGTTCAATTCTTCTTCCTCCGGGTTCTTGTTCTATTGTCATCAAGCCAGTTTCCGGATTCACAGACTCTATATTACCTTAACAATTTGTCAGTAGTTTAGTGTAACTATTGTAGGAAAAGTTGGTTCTTTTGCTATTACGGAACTCTCATAACCACATTACAAATTCAGTGAAGGTATCAACCAAAAAATTTCATTTATTTAATTGCTCCTAGAATCGAAACAAAGATATAGTAGTTGTATGAAAAGAAACAACACACGCAAAGATTCAAGGAAGCATCTCTACTTGAGGGATATATAGCAACTGAATTCGGATCATTCGGGTTGTTCTTCAGATTCCTCTATCTCCAGCTTCTGCAAGGAAAAGAAACAGATATTGTCAGTAAGATACATAAAATGGATTTAGATTTGGACAAGACATTAAAAGGGGTGAAAACTATACACCAAGAGTAAAAGAAAGGTCAAGGATTAAAAAAAAAATGAAAGCAAACCATGGATTATATTACACCACAATACCACATGGCATCTACCAGTTGAGTTCTCTTAAAATCTTGACTGGAACATTGAATTTCTCATAAAAAGTTCTAAAATCTTGAGAAAACCATAAACAACCATTGCATTTTCATTACTATTGTAGGTAATTCACATTCCCCAAGAAACTGAAAAAGGTGAATGAATATTAGCCAAGTCAACAACATTAGCAACCTAATGCACATAATTGCTCTGAATCCAAGAGACAGGGGACAAGAGGATGTGAAGATTTTGTTGATTGGCTGGAGTTTCCAGGGTTTTAGTTGAGAGTCTCTCGTTAATCAAGTCCTCTTTGGGGTTGTTCTAACTTCAGTTCTTATCATACTCCTACCTCAATCATCTTAATATCACTTAGATCCCCTCACAACTTTCCAAATAAAAGGCCCTTTATATCAGCTTGAGATAACTATAGACTTAAAAGTTAAAACACATCCGATTAACCAAAACTGGGACAAGATTTTTCTACTAGAAAGATAATAAGACATTATTTAACACAGTTTGATGATCCATTGCATAAATTGAGTATCTGAACCAGTAATTTCTAACAACAATTCTAGAGATATCACCATTTCCAAAGAACCAGAGCATGTAATTCACAAGTAGATTAAAAATTTCCAATTCGTAACTGTTACTGCACAAAACTTTGTTTATCAGATAAGAAACAATGACTAATTAGGTCTAATATCCATCAAAATCAGAATGGGCAACAATATAGAAACTGCCGTAACACCCTAAATTGGACCTCAGCTCAACATCAATTTAATCGAATCAAAGCAACTTTCTACAAATGTTTGGATCATCTAACAAGAAACGAAACTGATAATTGACAAGTGAAAGACCATTGGAGAGGAAGAGAGAGAAGAAACATACAGATTGAGCGTTGTGCCAAGAGAGACCACGATAGACATTAAAGGAGAAAGTGCCGGTGAGGTAGATGGTGGCAAGCCCTAGCCCCGCCGTGAAAGCCTTAAACGACCAATCTCCAGCTCTAGTCACTATCCCCATTTCTCTGCTTTTCTTTTTCAACAAACAACAACACCACACCGGAGATTTATGGTTCGATGCAAATAAATGTGTACCGGCTCAAAATTGTGATTCCTCGGTTTATTTTGGTCCAAGTTAATTCGGTCACCATTAGTGGTTGACTGATTGGTTTGACTTGAATCGGTTTAATCAAAGAAACCGGTTTAACCAAGTCCATATTACACACTACACAGTTTGAAAATTTGCTTAACTAAATCTTATTTATGATGATAACAGTCTTGCTGATTAAAGTAACTGAATAACTGATACATAGAATAATAATTTAAGGGTCATGTTTCTTCACTATTGCCTACAATCTGCTAATTTATACACACCACCTTCAAGAAGATTAATCACAAAGCTCGATCGAAGTTTCCATCAATCCCCCATATGGAGCCAGTCCGGTTGAGACCCTCGGGATTCGTCAGCTTCTTGTTGATCGAACATTGTTCGTTGAACCTCAATCGGCAGAGTATTAAGCTGTAAAACACAACACCAATAACTCATGAATTTTAAAAACCAATGTCTCTTCTGATCCTAAAGAAAGATCGAGGAACAAACAATATATTCATACGTGTCTAAGAGAACCAAAAGAACTATATAGACCATGGAACTGTAATGACAGCACACATAAAAGATTGATGTTTTGCAGCAAATGTAGTATTGATGCTGAAACCTTCTGATCAACAAGAGCTAATTGATGAGCACTAGAATATTAGTAGTATCAAAAGGAGTTTGGGGCTTACATCTCCAGAAGGAAACATTCCTACTTTTGGACCATTGCTCACATCTGAATTAACGATTTCTAGCTTCATCGAAAGAAACTGCAGACAAATTCATTATTATAGCCTAATGATACTAATGGCGCAGCATTTTAGAAGAAAAATATATAGTACACAGAAACGGCTACCATACCTCAACTTGCCGTTGCAACGACTGAATATAATTGATAATCTCATCAAGCACAAGAGCTTTTCCTATAATCTGAATCATAGGAGCATTCCTTATAAATATTTTCAAAGGTGATAACGCATTTTGTAACAGTGGCTTCAAAGGTAAAACAGCGGATGCAATGAATACGAAACAGCTTTTCCTATAATCTGAATCATAGGAGCATTCCTTATAAATATTTTCAAAGGTGATAACGCATTTTGTAACAGTGGCTTCAAAGGTAAAACAGCGGGTGCAATGAATACAAAACAATTGTATTTTCATGTACAGGAGCAAGACAAAAGGATTATTAGTAAGGTACCTTATTACATCCTGGAATCAAATCCTGAAGAAACTTCATCCTCTCACTGATCTTTTCTCTTCTAGCCTGAGGAAGAAAAACCGAGCTGTAGATAAACAGTTTACGGATAAAACATTGAACATAACAATGCTATGTGTAATAAAAAGGAACACGCCACCCCCTGTAACTGTAACAAATCCCTTTCAAAACTGACATTTTGTTACCTAACAATGAAGGTGTTGTTGTATCAAGAAAGCCGTAATCTTTAGGAAATAGAATAACATACTCGCTCTGCTAGACTGTGCCGGTCAGTAGCTTGTCCTCGTCTTGCTCTCACGTGAATATAATCCTTCAGCGGACTCTTTTCTTCGGTTTCTTTGCTTCCACCACCTGAGCTTGTTTCACCTTCACGTCTCAAACCATCCTCAGTTTCTCCTTCAGATAAACAAACTTTCATTTTCTTCTTACTCGATTCTTTCTGCTCAAAAGTTACATATACGAATCAACTAGTCATATTTTCAGAATCAATGAGACAATGACTATAGAGAGTAATTCCAGAGAATTAAGTCTAATTAAAGTCATAAACTTTAGTACTATAAACTAATCCTAGATAGCTAGATTCCACCATGATTACCTAAAGCTAAAGCATCCCAAGCTAACACTGTAAAATTTGGAAACCAGAGACAAAACAAAATCTAGCAATTTCCAGCTTAAGCTCAAGAGAAGAAATGTGAAATAAAGCTCACCAATCGATTAACGCTGGTGCAGGAAGAGAACATCATCTTAGAAGATTCGTCTTGAGAAGTCAAAGCTCGTCTCTTTCTTCCTCCTCCGGTTTGCTCCGTCACCGTAGACTCCTCAGCCCCAGATATGTAACTGTTACCGGAATACCTGAAGTCTTGACCCGAATTGAGCGGTAATCGGACATCATAGTTCACTGAGAATGGCCAAAACTCAGTGAAAGTTGACTCATTCACTACCGGAGGAACCATTACCGGATTTAGGATCTCCGGATCCGACATCGGAGCAAATAAAAAAAACAAGAAGCTAGCGTTACCGTTTGGGGACTTTGGGTTTGGAATTTGGATAAAGGAGATCACTTTATCTAAAATCTCAAACTAACGATTTTAATTGGACAACGTGCCGTTTTTCGTAGAATTGCTTCATTTTTGACTCTCTGAGAGGACTACCTGCCGTTTTTTGTTAAATGTGATTGGTTACTGTGTAGTGAATGTGTTTCTTCAGGTAAAGAAAAACTAAAACATGATTTTGAGTGTGAGAAATGGCGGCACAATCCAACGGTTTTGTACAGCTTCCATTTCATTGCTCGAGAAACCAGTGGAGAAGACTATTCAGGTGGTCACATTTGATACCAACTCTCACCTACGAAGTCTCATCAATGCCGGGAATTTGCGTGTTGCTCGCCAAGTGTTTGATAAAATGCCGCACAGAGATATTGTTTCATGGACAGCTATCATTAAAGGATACGTAACTGCAAACAATTCTGACGAAGCAATGATTTTGTTCTCTGCAATGCGTGTTGTTGATCCTGCTGTCTCACCTGATACCTCTGTGGTAAGTGTTGTACTCAAGGCTTGTGGTCAAAGTTCCAACATTGCATATGGAGAATCTTTACATGCTTATGCGGTGAAAACATCGCTGCTTAGCTCTGTATTTGTGGGAAGTTCTTTACTGGATATGTATAAGAGAGTTGGAAAGATCGAGAAGAGTTGCAGAGTTTTTAGTGAAATGCCTTTTAGAAATGCTGTAACATGGACAGCGATCATTACGGGGTTGGTTCACGCTGGTCGTTACAAGGAAGGTCTTACGTACTTTTCTGAAATGTCGAGCTCCGAAGAACTATCTGATACTTTCACATTTGCTATTGCCTTGAAGGCTTGTGCTGGTTTACGTCAAGTTAAATACGGTAAACAGATTCATACTCATGTGATAGTGAGAGGCTTTGATGCCACTGTTTGGGTGGCTAACTCGTTGGCGACAATGTACACAGAATGTGGGGAAATGCGGGACGGACTTTGTTTGTTTGAAAATATGAGTGAGAGGGATGTGGTTTCGTGGACAAGCCTTATCGTGGCTTACAATCGAATAGGTCATGAAGAAAAAGCTGTGGAGACATTTATAAAGATGAGAAATTCTCAAGTACCTCCTAATGAACAAACTTTTGCAACGATGTTTTCTGCGTGTGCAAGTCTTTCTAGACTTGTGTGGGGCGAGCAGCTCCACTGTAATGTTTTCTCTCTAGGTCTAAATGATTCTTTGTCAGTGAGTAACTCGATGATGAAAATGTATTCAACATGTGGGAAGTTAGACTCTGCTTCTGTTTTGTTTCAAGGAATGAGATGCAGGGACATTATTTCGTGGAGCACGATTATTGGAGGATACTCTCAAGCCGGTTTTGGAGAAGAAGCTTTTAAGTATTTCTCATGGATGAGACAATCAGGGCCAAAACCAACAGATTTTGCTCTTGCTAGTTTGCTGAGTGTTTCAGGAAATATGGCAGTTCTTGAGGGAGGCAGGCAAGTTCACGCACTTGCTTTTTGTTTTGGTTTAGAACAGAACTCCACGGTTCGTAGTACTCTCATTAATATGTACTCGAAATGTGGAAATATCAAAGAAGCTTCAAAGATATTCGAAGAAACAGATAGAGATGATATTGTTTCTCTGACAGCTATGATCAATGGATATGCAGAACATGGAAAGAGCAAAGAAGCTATTGATCTGTTTGAGAAGAGTCTAAAAGTTGGTTTCAGTCCCGACTCTGTAACTTTCATCAGCGTTCTCACCGCGTGTACTCATTCGGGACAGCTTGACCTTGGTTTTCACTATTTCAACTTGATGCAAGAGAAGTATAATATGAGACCAGCCAAGGAACATTATGGTTGTATGGTTGATCTGTTATGTAGAGCAGGACGGCTAAGTGAAGCAGAGAAGATGATTGATGAGATGTCATGGAAGAAAGACGATGTAGTCTGGACCACACTTCTCATAGCGTGTAAGGCCAAAGGAGACATTGAACGTGGGAGAAGGGCGGCCGAGAGGATTCTAGAGCTGGATCCTACTTGTGCAACTGCACTTGTAACACTAGCCAATATATATTCAAGCACAGGGAACTTGGAAGAAGCTGCGAATGTAAGGAAGAATATGAAAGCAAAAGGCGTGATCAAAGAGCCCGGATGGTCATCAATTAAGATCAAGGATTGCGTTTCAGCATTTGTATCTGGCGATCGGTTCCATCCTCTAAGTGAAGATATATACAATATCTTGGAATTAGTAGTATCTGGTGCAGAAGCTCATAGATTTGATTGTACAATAAAGAGGGTTTTTGGGGTTTATTCATATTCCTGAAAATACAATTAAAATTTTCTCATAATTTAAATTGTTGTTTAATCTGCTCATCAACTGATTCAGTCAATAATCAATGTAGATATGACCCCTTTGAGAAAAAAAGAACAAACGGTGATTCTTCATGATTATATTGGTTTGCATTTTGCAATAATACTAATAAGATATGGATGAGTCTGATTTATACATCAATGATATGAACACGTTACAGCTACGAAAAACAAAAAGATAGAGGAGAAGCTGCTAATTCCACGGAGCTAATTCCACGGACTCTGAAGACGTGATTCTCTGAAAACAGAAGTGCCACCAGAACCAGCTGGTGAAGGAGATGAAGCAATGTAGTTTGTTCCAGATGCAGAGACAGTGACTGCAGGACCGGGTTGAGAAGGACCCACACGCGGGCTCCATCGAGAAGTATGGGGAACCTGATAAACAGCAACAACAATCAATCATCATGTACATATAAGAATGCGAAATCACAGATTGAGCAAAGAGAGGCCAGCTTTATTTCTATCCAACGATTCTAAGTAATTTGTTTCGATTGTTGTTTAAGATGAAGATTTTGAATATTTACCATATTGTGTTGTGACAAGGCTGCTGCTCTTTTGAGAGGAGATTCAGATGACGAAGAAGCACCACACAGTCGAAGCACAGTACGAGTTTGAGCATTATTCTGATTCGCTGCATCATCGGTTTCTCCGCCTTCCATGTGAGTACCAGCATTACCTCCTGAGTCATTAGAGACATCAACATGGAGTGGAAGGGCAGGGCGAGTCGCTGCTGTCGTTCCTTGCTGTTGCATGCAGCCGCGTCTTTTCAATTCTTCCTCAGCATTTAAAATCTGCGTATCCGTTAATTTGAAAAGTATGATTACCTCAATAAACGGGTTTTGGTATACAGCTGAAACACCTTTTTAGAGAGAGAGAAGAGCAGACACACTGAACTGACCTGCTTAAGCACTTGGACTAGATTGTGTTTCTTTGCATTCAAAACTTGTAATCTCTCCTCTACTTCTTTCTGTTTTTTCTCTATCTCGCTTGGTACTTTTTCAGCTGTTTCATTCGCCTGTATCGAGAAAAGAGAACACAGTCACGAAATGAAAAACAACAAAGCTATAAGAAAACAAAACAACTTCACAGAAAATAACTACGATTTTACGCCTTCACAGTTCCCAAATTGATAACTCTCTGCGGCCTGATTGTTTCATCTATAGACTTGTTGCATCACAACATCTATCAATGTGACTTAATAAACTACTTGAGGACACACATCAAAGAATCAAACTGCTTGTCACCATGGCGGCTTCACTTATACAATGTTTATTCTACGATTCAACAAATCAGCCACTTAATTTCGTAAATTCACCTAAAATGACCTAATCTTCCTATGTAGTTCATAAAACTCACCCAAAATTTCTCAATGAGAATGGCGATTCGAGACTTAAATCAGCTAATTAGTACTCAAATTCAATCGGAATGTCACATAGAAATTGATACATACCTCTGCTTCCTCCTTCGCCACATCCTTTTGTGGCACATAATCGGTTTCCTTCAATTCCGTCACTCTCCCTGGACGATCTCCACCGTCTGATCGAGCTCCTTCAAAACCTCTGTCGTTGTTCTCATCTTCCTTAACCCGATTCCCACCTATCACCTCTCTCTTCACATCAACTAGCTTCTGCTTCCCAGAAGAAGCGTTCCCTTCAGATGGAATAATCGGATTCTCCTGATCGGTAACCAACTCAGTCTTGACGCTGAGATTCAAATTAGGGTTGGAATTAAGGGGGAGACGAGAGAGGGCTCGTTTACGGCGATGAAGGAGAGATTTGAAATCCTTGAAAGAGAGATTATGGTCAGGCATTCTCCACCGGCGAGGTACGTCGGGAACTTTGTGAAGGTTGCCTCTGTACATTGATATCGCCACCATCGTCTTCTGCTTTTGGGTTTCTTCCGTTCGTCGAATTCGCCGTTGCCTTCTGCTTCCGTGAGCATATGACGATGAGATTTCGACTTGCATGACGTTTTGCTCTGAGAGGTTAGAAACGTGTGTCGTTTTTGTTTTTATGTAGTCTACCCAACCATTGTACCAACGACGAATTTGGGCCCTTACAAACCCAATAATATCTTTTAAAAAGCCCATTTAGTGTTAAAATTTGGGCCTGCAAACGTGTTGTTGCTTTTTTTTTTTTTTCGGCATGTGCTGTGTTGTTTATATTCAAGAATTTGGTCTGAATATAAAACTATTAGGGCATATGCAACGTGAGATCTTTGAAGTTTGATCTTAGATTGAAAATATTATTAAAATATTATAAGAGTTTTAGTTAAGATCTTTTATAGAGTAATTGATTAAGGGTAGAACATGTTTAGATCTTAAGAAATAATAATTTAATAATCAAAAACTTTAACACACACTTTCGTTAACTTCAAAGAGGAATAGGTTTCACCATTTATTAACAAAGCACTACTCAACTATCTGAAAACAAGAGACATACAACATACATACTCCAGTTTACTCAATCATCAGAAAACAAGAACAAGAACTCTAAACTAGATACTTCAGCAGCTAATCACAACTATATTGAGTAGGGAATTACCTTATAGTTGGCAGGAAATGGTTGTTGGTGTTGCTACTCCGATTTAAACTTCAGAGCTACCTCACCTACATGTCTCACAACCAAAACAAACACTTATGGTCAGTTTAATCAAGCAAAAAAGACACGATACACATAAAAAAAACTTCCGTATCACAGTTTAACTCGAATGTCATTGTTATTTGTAAACCTAATTTTCTTCTAATGAGAACAACAAGCAACAAAACCCATATACTAAACCCAAACCTAAACCTACATCGACTTCTAAAACAAAATCCTCTAAATCTCAGACTTTCGGATGAAACGATGAAACGATAAATCTCAGACTTTCGGAGAACACGTACCTACGGCTTTGGGAGAAAGAGGAAACGATGAAACACCAGATGGGTGAGGCGAAATCAATCGGAGAAGTCGGATGTGGCCTCGAGATCGTCGGAGATCTTTGTCGCCCTAGAGATGGTGTATCGGCAAAAAGAAGAGGAAAATAAAAGGAATAACGAGAAGGGATAGCAGAGAACGAAGCAAAGATCGATTAGGCTCTGATTTTACCGGAAATCGGTGCGAAATCGGCCAACTATCGACGACGGCAACAATCGCCGCGAGAGAGGCTGGAGAGAAACAAAACCCTAGACTTGAAACGATTTTGCCCCAAATGAAAAAAATATTTTCGATATCAAAATTCTTACCCAATCCGCGCATGCCACGTCACAACGAGAGCGGGCCAAGAACTGATCCAGCCCAAGACCACTTCGCCCGATCTTAGCCTTCAAAACCCAAATTCTATTCATTTTAAAATCTAAGAATATGTCCAAAGTTATACCGATACTTATGGTCTTAGTAGCTTATTAAAGGTCTGGTCATATAGGTAATCCGTTCAAATTTGGGTAGAATTCGTTTAGGTTCGGGTTTAATAGATAATATATTTGCTATCCAATAGGGTATTTCTAAATATTCGATATCGGTCCAGTTCAGGTACATTTAGATTCGGGTCAATTTGGATAATATTTTTGGGAACTGATAAATACCAAAAAATTTCTGATATCCTCCAGTTCAGGTAAGATCGGATAAAAATACCCAGAACCCGAAATGTCACAAAAATACACGAACATTCACAAATCACGCAAAAAAGAATATAACTTCAAATTTAATATCTAAATCCAAGCAAAAGTCCCAAAGATTAATATTTAGAGTTAAGAGTAGAGAAAACGACAAATAGATGTTCTTAAACTCCTTAAACAAAAGTATCTAATTGGCAAACCGCAAACAGAAATCTGAATATGAAAAACATAGAAGTATGACGAGTTGATTGATGATGAGTGATGACTTTGTTTTGAATCTTCGTCTCTTGAAAAGATAAAACAAACAAATATCAATCTCAGTTACATAGTTCATACTTCAGACTTTAAAGTTTAAACAATGTATGAATTATAAAATACGAATGTCAATTACTTACCTTAGCCACTTAGTGACTCACTCAAAACCATAGATGTGGAATTCAGGTTCAAACTCTTTAGAACAATGACAAATTAAAGAACACGCTATGATCACGCAATGAAATAACAGGAAAGTATTGTGAGGGGTCCGTGTTGATCTTTGCGTGAGAACACGCATAAGGACACGCAAAGACAATTCATTAGCTTATGTTTTTTTTTTTTCATCTGAAATTAATTAGAGCTCAAAATAGTCATTTATGAAGAATGTTGTTTACATATGTGATATGAAGCGGTTCTCTACGAATTTTTGTCATTAGCTTATGTTTATAATAATCATTTTATAAGCTTTATATGTTTATTTAATCATATACTAAATTAACCAAAATCAGTAGTAAAATTTAAGCATAAACTCATCAGTTTTATTTTTTAAAATGTTTTAAGTACAACACATTTATCGTTGGAAATGTTTTCACTCTATAACCAGAATCTTTTTTTCGACTAAGACATCAGTACTCAAATATTCAAATCTAATTTGGTATGAGTCATTATAATATTATGATTATGTTTGCATGTTTTTTTAGACTTGGTGACTCCTTCCACACTTAGGTTTTACGTTTCTTCTTTTTTTCCGAAGTTTTTGAAATGTTTTTAGTCTATGAATTACAGATTAAACTCGAAATAAGATTCAAATATCATTTGTTTGATATGGTTTTCCTCTGATTTATTTTACTTAGCAAACTGTACCAAAAAAGAACAAAATCCAAATCCAAAAACAAAACAGAGTTAATATTAACATCTTCGTAGATCCGTTCACAATCCAAGTCAGAAATACAATCTAAGTCAAAACATAATTAAATATAACATACCAATATATATAATAATCACGATTCAAACAAATACAAAACAACTTAACAAAAAAGAACAAAATCCAAATACAGAGATATTAATCCCACATCTCAAACTTTACCAATCATATGAGATTTTCTCTCATTAACAAATATTGCTTTCAAGTTTATAGTGTGATGATA